GTTATTCACTGATTATTATATACAAAGATATCCAAATCCTGAGCTCTCTTCATCGATGCTGTATATAAGCAGAAGCTACCTACCACCAGTACTACTCTTCAACATCCATACAAAGATACATATCACAGTACTTAAGCTTCAAGAACACCCAGCTAGCCAGCCATGGTGATGATGATGAACATGCCCAATAATACTATCATATTCATGATGATTTTCCTGAGCACATGCATATATGCAGCCCTTCTGCCTTGGAGCGAATCGGCAAGAACGATTGCTCCGACGACAGTTGCTAATTCCAACGATTCTAGCCGCACAGGATACGAGCATATCAATCTCAGGTACGAAACTCGCTCGATCCTAGCTGACTAGAGGTGGCAATTCTCAATCGCCAATCCACCAACCCATTAAAAATATCCACCTGAATTCAATCCATTTAAATCCAATCCATTTGATCCAAATCCAATTGGATTGGTGGATTCATGGATTGATCCATGGATCTAAATGATAAATTACGATTTGGTACCTATACTTTTTATATTTTATATTTTGGTACCCAAAATTTAATCTTTGTACGAAAAATCTTATTGGAAAATTATGTTTTGGTACCTAAAATTTTCCTTATGACATTTTAGTACCTAAACTTTTCACATTTTTACATATTGAACCTTGGTTGAGGATGTCATTTGGATTCATGGTTAATTCACCAATCCATTGGATCCAATCCATTTGATTCATGGATCAACCAATCCAATCCACCAATTCATGGATCAATCCATTTACCACCTCTATAGCTGACCTAGGATTATCTCCGACGCACCTCCAAAAGTTAAAAATTGCGACACGATCTGTGGTATATAGCATCTTTAATCCAAGGTCAATAATGTAACAATACGCAGGAACCATCATTTGTATCGACGACCTAACAGTGATCACCGAGCAACAACAGTACCTGTCGCCGGCGGCCGACCTCGTAAAACTTCCGGCAATGCTTCCGTTGAGAGAGACTGTGGTGGTTGCACCCAGGCAAATTGCATTAAGGTTTTCGCCTCGTGTGATCAGAATTACTACATGGATTGCGAATGCGTATACAGTTATTCTTGCGTGTGTTTACCCTTGTAATAGAACTATAGGCGTTTTATTCCCTGCTGCTTCCTAACGTGTGAATCAAGTAACAGTTTTGCAAGCAAGCTTGCGGGAGGAGCTAGCTAATTAAGGTTTGTTCTAATAACAAATGGTGTTGTAAGTGGCTCATCTATGAAATTATCACCAGCTTTGTCCGCGTCTCGAATCAGTCTCGTAATTGAGTCGTCGTTGTACCGCGCATACTTGGTTTGGAGTTAGTCTTTGTAATCGCGAGTCGTTGTACAGCAATATTCGGTTGGAGTCACGCTTGTAATCGCGAGTCGATCGGTGTACCATTTCCTTTGGGCTTGTCTTGAAAGAAAAAAAAAATTACAATACACGTCTTATCAAATAAGAGCAAGTTCTATAACCAAACGTGTTGTTGTTTTTGGTGCGCTCATTTTTATTTAGCGTACACGAGTATTTCTTCTGTTTGTTATCATTCTTATTTTAATATTTTGACGGTTTTGATTCTTAGACATTAGTTATATCCTTTGATTCTTGTTACATCAAAATTTGGTATTCGCTAAACAGTTTTGGAATTGATAATCGTAATTTTTTAGTCCTTGAACATCTAGGGAGTCAATTTAACTTCTATTAAACGGAATTTTATATTATTTTGTATTAAGACAATTTCGAATTGAATAGTTCATAAAAAGTTTATTATATTTTAAAAAAATTTAGACAACATCTTATTTTTGGAAGAGGACCTCCGAAATTGATTGGCCACAATCATGCCCTCCCATTTTAAAAGGGGAATGAGTGTGGTCATGGTGAGAGCTCAAACATCCTCCTTCTCATTTTTGGTCCCCATGAAGTTTTATAAATATTGAAAAAAAATGAATAAATTGATATTTGAACCGACATAATAAAATGATACTCCCCTAAGTGGTTCTAAATTTTATTTTACTAATTCAAGTTTAATCACTCAAAATCGAACGAGTTGAGATGCACACAGCCGTACACGAGAACAGGTCGGAAACAATATATATACACCATGTCCCACGTTACCCGCCCCAAACAAGCAGAGACAAATCGTATCGCGCGCGGATCAAATCAGAAATTACCATAACCATATTCAAAGTCCTTAGAGTGACATGTCAAAGAAATGTTATCCAATCAATGGATTTAACTTCAACCATATAATTAAACATGTACATATCCTTCCAAAACATTGCGGTTTGAACTCTTTCTCCCCCAAACTTAGATAAGTGTATATGTGAACTAAGTTAATAAGGTGACAAGTTGACCTATTATAGAGTGCGGTCATCATATATAACAGCTTGTATTTTCCGCCAAGAAAATAAAAATTTAACATTCAATCCTACTTAATTACCGTACGCAACCTCTTCTTCATATGTAATTTTTTTTTCTTACGGTTATTCCAAAGTCCAATTTCATATTATCCATTGTCTAACATTAGGGGTGTACTATGTCGATATGTTTTGGACATTTCTAGTCAGCCGAACTATATTACTGGTTTGGATAATAAAAAATCCAAATTCGACCATGAAAAATCAAATAAGGAGTAATTGAGTCATTTCGCAGCTCCTTTAGCGGTCACTTAACAGATAATTGAATGGGAGGGTACGATTTAATTTTATTAGGATATGTTTGCAGTGCGAAAATTTAGTAGAGGAGTACGTTTGTTAATTTGCTATAGTAGAGGGTTACAAAATGCTATTAATTGCCCGTTTTTTAACTCTAGGATCTCACGCGGTTGAATCGGTTCGGATTGACGAATCGGCCGGGCTTCCTTATTTATATGTTCATCATCCCTACCTAGTACCTAACAACCAAAGCAATTCGGATCCCATCCTTAAAAAAAACAAAGGAATAAACAACAAAGTCCCATTTTATATTACGCTTTCTTGCTTCATCGGCTTTGCCGTCATTGACCGTTTTGGTATAGCCAAAATCATGTTTAATATTTGTAATAATACTCTGCTGAACATAATAAAGAGTAATATCAAGAAGTGAAACTCTTCTATCCAACCCATCATTCATATACGTTGTTTGCGTACGTCCTTTAGGGGAGGAAAAGGATCGAATAGTCCATGAGTATGAATAAAACGCGGACTGTGTAAATAATGAAAAGAAACCCTAATCTCGAGCTCTCTTGATGACCATAGCGTTCATAACTTCATATATGTGTGTATATATATATATATAGCTGAATATTAAGCCCCTCAAACAGAAATCAGAGAGCTAGCTAGCCATGGCGATTTCTAAGTTGGCCGCCGTCTTGCTTCCCTCGACTGTATGGTTCCTCCTAATTATTTCATGTAATTAATCTCCCCCCACCATCTTTTCCCACTTAATTACTTGGTCTCTTCAAGTACAGTAAAACTGGTCTCTCTCTTATCCGCGGATTAGCTAACACTGCGTATATCAGGTCGTTTGCCTTGGGGCGAATCAAGAACGATTGCTCCTCGATGGGGGGACGACGACGACGTCGTTCTAATTGCTGCCAACGGTACACAGTTCAATATTGGCAGGTATCTCTTTGGAACACTATCTCCAGCTGATCTCCCCCCGTAAATTAGTCCTGACAAATCGTCAGGGATACCACGTAAATCAGATTAATCGTTCGTGAATAATCTGTTGTTTTTTCTTCTGCAGCGATGCTTGGATTGATTACGACTGTGATGGTCGCTGCAACGACAAAAAGTGCAACAAGGCTTACCCTAAGATGTGTGAAGGAGTGAAGCCTGGTGGGATGAGGACGAGATCAGATGATTATAAGAGCAGTGTTGGAGTTGACGATAATGATCAGTATGAGTATTATACATGCTGGGTGGGTTGCTGGTGTGCAGATAGTAAATGCTACTGCCTTTGTCGTAAAGAGGAGTTCTAAATGATCGATATTCCATGCAGTCGAAATCGCGATTCTATGCAGATGCGCGTCTGGGTAATTCAAAAGCGTGAAAACGTGAGCTTTTGAGCTTTCAATCGTAGATTTTGACTACAATTATGCAAATCATGAAAAGCACGGTACTGCATAGAAACATTTTGGTTAACTAATAATAATGTTAAACCAAGATTTGTTATGTATATCTCTTCCGCTCTTTGAATTTCCGGGCCATTGTTTGGGTTGGGTATTTTCTATCTTGGCCGCCCAAAAATAAGCACGGTACTCTTCAACGGATATGAATCATGAGTTTTAGTTGGCAAATTATGTTATATATACGAGATTGAGATTGATATATTTATACAATGCTATCTATTTTGTAATGTTTTTTTAAGAGTAAAAATTTCGGAGTAAGTAGATACCAACTCTAATGGAGTGGCAAAATATCACAATGTCAAAAGTAAACCAACAATTTCAGAGTTATTCATACTGATCATTAGATCCCCTTCTTCCCTAACCGACGTGCACAAGGGTAGCTAATAAGCTCGATGAATGGTTGGGATAGAAGAGTTCCATGCACTTCTTGGTAGATATTACTCGTTATTATTACGGTTCTTCCAAAGTCCAAGTGTATATACCCCATGGATTTGCCTAAACAACCAAACCAATTTGGGGATGCCATCCGAGAAGAAAACAAAGCGAAAACAAACGAATAGACTTGCTTAGTAATCGTCGTGGCGGTTGACTGGTAATTTAAAACCAGTACTAACTTGTCATAAATCGAATGATCTCAATAACTCGGATGGTTATAATAAGGTTAGTTACGGATCATATACTCTACTCTGAGAGGATTCATCCTTGTCCGGTTTATACAAACTACTTTGGACTCGCCGTATATGGGCCACAACCCAATAGAAAGGTAACAGAACAATGCAATGGAATCAAAGAATCCGCACAACCAAAAAAGTAAAGGCCAAAGCTCTCCTCGTCAAATTATCATGAGTTAGAACTTAAAACTTAGAATACTATTATGCCACAGGATTCACATAAACCTGCAAATTTTCAGCAAAATATCTTTACTCTAGATTGCTGCAGCCTAATCATTAGAGGAGAAAAGAGAAGAAGCTATTCACATGGATCCTCAAAATCCCCATCCAACTCTATTGACATATATCAGCATCTCAACAACCATAATAACCCATGAATTTCCGCAACCCTTGTGGGTTGTTTGAGAAAAGAGTGCCAGTCTAGTCTGAGATACCAACCAACAACATAAAAAAAAAAAAACAAAGATCAAAGATCGAGGAGGAGAAGGGAAAGAAAGAAATCATCTTTGAAATGTTCTCAGCTCCTATAATTTAACCAGACAGATATTTTCTATGGATCACCCAGCTCCATCATGAGCTTGAGTAGAGCATCGAATTCCGACGAAGACAGTCCATCTCAATCCTCTTCAGTGCAGAGGTGGTGGTCTGGGAAAGCGAGGGCGAACTGGCGTCTTCGACGGGCTTACCCTGCATTGCCACCATCGATTCAGAATCAATGTCGACATAATAACTATTACCGAAAGCAATCTTATAGTTTGCGAGCCTGGCGAAGGGAACAACCAGCTGCCAACACACTACCTTATGGGCAAGGTTCCCAGAAGAGCACCACTGCAGTTTAGAGCAGCAATTGCACTCTCAGCCTGCAAGACGCGAGAAAAAGGATACTCAGATCGAAAACTACAGACAAATAATGTCTATTCGGCGGATAACTGTGGCCAAAATGGGCAAAATGCAATCCTAAGGCAACACAAAGACGATGACTGAATGTCAGTGGTAACTGGACTAGAATGTTATCAACATTTTGATCAACGTAGATGAAAGCATTGCATAACCAAAGGGTAGTGCAGATATCTCTGCATAATAACATTGCAAGAACTTACTGTTAGCAGAAAGTAGAGGACGGCTATAAGAAACCATCTGTCAGTATAGCTTTCACCATAATGATCCACAACTAGGCTTTATTGTGTATTGTATGTATATTAGGCAACTAGTATTATGTCATTCGGAAGGCTGCAGATGTACTGCAAATTCATAGGATTGTCCTCTACCAAGACAAGGAATATCAAGTGAGCTTCATTCTCGGCTTTTTTTTCCTCAAACACACCAAATACCAAAAACCTATGACCCTCTTTTGCAAGTTTTAGGACTCATAGACATGTACTGTAAATCAATGGTTCCACAAGTCGATTAATACGCAGCAGAGAGAATATTCGCTTCTTATATCTAAAGGGAAATGAAACAGCCTCCTGAACAATTAAGGTTAGAAAGGAAACATCACAGTTTCTCTATCTCCACAATACACAGACACTGCTGCTCCAAAAGTGATGTATGATAGCCTAATACATCTGGATTAACAAGCTTATCCTTGCTTCACAGAATGCAAGCATCCTAGTTTCCTAGCTATGATACCAACCTAAGAAGCGTCCGAATAAACACAGATATGCCCTGTGAATTTAAGTGTCTACAAGTAAGTGGACTCAGACACCGAAATTCAGATTCTTATAACACAAGCAACAAAGATGCTAAAACCAGTTTATTTCAGTACCTTGGCAACCCAGAGTAAGTAAATTTTCAAAAACTCCAACTATGAACAGAGCATAAGACTCAAACAGTTGCATAACTCCAACCAGTTTATTTCACCAAAGCGCAAAAAAAAAAAAAAATGAGAACGAGAGGATTGGATTTGCTCCAGAAGCATATCCAATCCAAACATTCCTCAAGTATTGAAGCAATGCAAAATGTAAAACTACTCAATTTCCATATACACTAGATATGTGATATTATATCTTAAAATGACGAGATCAATACCATAAAAAGCTATATTACCATTGCAAACTCAACAAAAGCAATACGAGTTGAATGATGATAGTCTCCAAGAAGCCTCAAACATTGAACCTGCAAAAAAAAAGTTCCAAATAAGGTGCTGCCAAGTGTACAAGAAATATATTTTGAAAATTGTCACATGGTCCAGTACAAACCTCTCCACAGAAAGATTCAAAGAAAAGTCTCACATCCCCTGGGGTAATCTGCATTATGAAGGAGAAACAAGGTTGTTAAGGGGAAAATGTTCAAGATAGCCAGATGGAACTTAAAACTAGAATGTAGCTTCCAATATACCTTCTTATCTATATTAGTACAGTACACTGTTCTAGCACACATCTCTCGTTCATCTTCAGACTGAAAACCACAGCAGTGTGTTAGAAGAACTAGAAACATGAATGAAGTTCAAGACAATTGGATCTCATAGCCACCATCAAACGTTCTCAACTCTTACCCTTGGCAAAAATGTCGGGTTAACAGGTGCAATTGCAGTTTTAGAAGGCAACACTCTTAGTGGATAATATCCAAGCACAGTCCCAGACAAAGTTATAGCAGCCCTTGCACCTTCTGCAGGCACTCATTCAGTTAGTAGAAGTTATTAGAATTGCAGGACGTGGATTTCATAGAAATAAGGCAACCATGGCTATTTTGACAGTACCTTCATCAGTAAATTCAATGAACGCAAAGCGAAGAACTGAATTAGGATCACCACATATACGACAATCAACAACCTTTTTCCACCAAAGAAGTAATCACCAAATCAGTTCCATTGGAAATCCATCACAAGGAAATCATTATTGTCATATCCAAGCCCAAAGAAGAAATATATACTTGTCCACAATGAAGAAATAGACCTGCCAGCTGCTCCTCAGTAACCTACATTCAAACAGATATAAAGACACAGTTAATAAATCAGACAGCAATGTGTCACTCAAAGATGCTACAGAACCAGAAACCAAATGCAAATTACTGACCTGCTGGTCGATGTCAGACACATATACAGTCCTCCTAATTACTTCTTCCCTCTGAGCCATACTCCTCCTGCCACCATTGGTTCTTCTCCTTCCCTGATTAAAATTGTTCTTCTGGAAACACAAGAAACAATCTCAACTAAATCAAACAGCAGACACCAAACCCCATTTTGGTTCTAGACCAAATGATCATTGTTCTGATCTTATACAACTCCCTTTCCCCCAATATCTGCCACCACAAACATAAAAACAGCAAAAAGACAGAAGCTTTATCACACAAACCCTTTTGATCATTCCATTAGGATTCCCATTGGGATTAAGCATTCCAAAATTGTTCGGATTCTTGAATCCGCCGTTGCCGAAAACGTTGCCATGATTGTTGACAAGAGAAGGAGGTACAAACTCCTGAGCCATTGGATTCAGCTTGGACAACATCTCCACTAACTCCCTCATCTCATTACTCCCATTAGATTTCCCAAAATTCATCTGATTCTCACCACTTCCTCCATACCCACCATCAAACCCATTCCCCATCTGGGCCCCACCTTTCTCCCCGGCGGTTAAACCATCCGCCGCCGCCGCCATCTCATCCGTATGATCTTCTTGGTCGCACTTCCCAACGATCGCCCCCCGATCATCGCTCTGAGACTGAGAATTCGCTCCCCCGACCAAAGATTCGTTCATGGGTTTTGTGCTCTCCGCAGTGTTCGATCCACCGTTTGCCTCCGATGACGCCAGAGTAGCGTCAAAATTCTGACTCGCCGCCACCCCTTCTTTGACCCCACCATTCTCAGCCACCGCCATGGCCACACAAGCTCTCAGATTCCCCCTCTAATCAAATGAAAAGATCGCCTTCCCCTGTTGATCAACACACCAAACCACAGAAATGAAATCTCTTACTACCCAGAAACGCAAAAACAAAGAAATCGATGTAATAAAATCAAAACAAATGCAGAGAGTTGTTGAAAGAAACCAGCTCACTCGTACCTGCCTTATCAAAATGGATTCCCCCCAACAGAGAAACGATTAACAAAAACCTCCCACTAAAGGAGTCGTCTTTATCAGAGAGAGAGAGAGAGATAGAGATGCAAAGAAAAAGCGAAAACGAAAACAAACACCACCACCAGCAGCTGCGAACAACTTTCTGATTGATGACAAACAGATTGCTCCCTAAGAGTTTTCCCTTCCCATCATTATAAGAAAAGTAATCAGCTTTATGCAGAGAAACGAAAAAAGATTGATTCTTTGCACGGAGAAAGAAAGAAATGAAAGTGGGGTTTTTTTCCCTCTTCTCTCTTTTCTGTGTGTTTAGTGTTGTTCTTCGGATCGTCCGTTTGTGAGATGAGATGGGCTTTGCTACAGCCTTTTGACAACTCTCTTATTTATTCTTCACTTTGTTCCCTTTTCTGTTTCTTTTTCCCATTTCCACTTTGGAACCTTTGAATTTAATTATTTTTAACCTTAAAAATTATGTAAAGTGGATGAAATAATCAAATAACTTATCACTTTCTGTTGAGTTTTTATATGTTAAATAATTTTATTAATATATAATAAATTTTTTGTCTAGAGAGCAGTGCCAGGGACAAGTCAAATTTATCCATTCCTTAAAAAAACAAGAACATTTTATTTTATGTTTGAATTGTTCTTATTGTTTTTGTTTGTCAGCGTCACCCTTCTAAATTCTAATAGAGACAGAACATTTCGACGTCGTAGTGAAGCGGTTTTATAAAAGAAAACATCTGTAGATTATTTGACCAGGTTTACACGTGTTTAACTTTTAATAAAACAACAACAACAACAAGGGAACAGTTAAAATTGTTTGTTATTTATTGGTGCTTTTTATATGAACCAAGAATTCTTAGGCAATCACAAACAATTAATATTTTATTTTCCATGGGGCCATTATTGGAATTTGTTATCATTGATTTATGTTTTTGTAAAAACCTTATTAGAGTTGCTATTCATAAACTTGAGTTAATACTTGCTTATTGGTAACAGTTCATTTTTTTTAGGCAAAATTCACTTCGATAGCCATAACTTTACACTTTGTGACAAATATAGCCAAGTTTTGAAAAATACACAAAAATGGCCACAAATTTGAAACTACCTTGACAATTATAGCCATTTCCGTTAAAAAAAATGACGGAGTTAGAAATGCCGTTAACGTCCGTCAACAACAAGCTGAGATGGTGCCTCGTCAGCTTACACATCCACTCTTAGTCGACGTGTCATGCCACATGTCATGCCATGTCAAATTAAAAATATTGTTTATTACAAAAAAAAATTAAAAAGATTAAAGAAAATAAGAAAACACAAAAAACAAAAGGACTCAGTTGACCGTTTCCCCTTCTTTGTTTTCAATTAAAGGAAAAAATAAAAAATAAAAATTGACAAAAGAAAATAGTGAGGAAGAAGTCTTGCCGACATCATCTTCTTCAACCAATACACAACGTATTTTTACCCACAAACCCTAATCTGCGAATCAATATTTTGGCAAAGTAGCAGCGTCGACTGGAAACAATTGTGCGGCGGCGAAGGCTACAAGGAGAAGCAGAAAACTGGAAATCAATTTTCTCCGACCTTTCTTCATCGTCTTCGGCAACAAGCTCGGTGGAAGCGGCCGTCGGTATCTCCTCTGGATGAATCGAGCTTTAAAAGGGTGGTTCTGGAATATCGTACCTTCAATTGGGGGTGGCTTCGGATCGGTCTCCTCTACTCGTTCTAATCGAGCAAGTATATTGCAGATTTGGGATTGGCTTTGGATCGGTCGCCTCTGCTGTGGGTTGCTTCTGGATTTCTCTGCTAGCGACGATGAGGGATGGTGGTCAAGCATCGCTCGGACTGGGTTCCTTCTCAGAATCTCCCTATGGCTTTGATTTTCTCTGTTCTATACGAAGAACAAAGATAAAAGGAAGGATGAGGGCGGCAGCGGCAGGGAAGGCCATAAGGCGTGGAACACGGCTGGAGCGGGATGCGAGAGGTGGGGAGCTAGGTGTGGGTGGTGGTGAACTGAATCGATGGGAATGTGAGCAGGTGGTGGGGTGGAATCTACATCTTGCTCCGTTCGTCGATTGAGAGTGGCCGGCGAAGTTGGGGTGGAATTAAGGTGGGTTTCTGGGAAGAGGAAAAGAGAAAATGGAGAGGGGCCGATGGAGAAGAGGAAAAGAAATAATAATTTGGTAAAGTAAATTTTTTTTAATAAATATATTTAAATTTAAAATCCACCCTGGCATGCCATATAGACGAAATCGGTGACGACCACAGACGACCGTTTGTCCATTCAGCCGTCGTTACAGTTCCGTTATATTAATGGACGGAATGGCTATTTCTGTGTATTTTTCAAAACTTGGCTATATTTGTCACAAAGTGTAAAGTTATGGCTATGGAAGTGAATTTTGCCTTTTTTTTACTACCTCTACATGTTAGCCCTACCTACCAACCATTATGATTTGTACTCATTTGAGCAATCTCGTCATCGATTAGCTTGTTGAGAAATCACTATCACGTTTTTATCATTGAGTCTCATTTCAGTTGCTACAATCTACATATTCTCACCATTCGTCATCGTTACATTGCTAGCTATCGAAGATGCATTCGAGGATTTTGGAGCCCGATGCTCCATAAGTTGCTTCGAGATGGTGGGTGTCGTTGTGAATTTTTGTTTCCTCCTCTTGGTACGACTACCTTCTACCTAAATATTGATGGAGTGCACAAATTGATGATGTGTTCAGCTTAGTAGGCTCCAAAATGAACTACCTAGGGAGACTTCACATCTTTTTATCTTTCCTGGACACATATTATTTTTGCAATCGTGCGGGTTATTACACTCATGGATATACACACAATGGTTTTGGAACTTTTCATCTACTTGCATTGGCGTCCTAGGTTCAAAGCTACTCTAATATTGGGCCGATGTTTAATTTTATACTAGTCGTATGAACTTAGTTGATCGATTTTACGGTTTATATGTATCTATTTGAATTAACCAAAGCCAAAACCAAACTAAACACACGTTTGTATAATTACCATTGAAGGTCCCTAAAATAATCAATCTCTCACTTTTTCTTACCTTCATTTCAGACATTTTTACTTTCACAGTTTCATTATCCCAACATCAAGCTGAAATTTCAATTAACCCAAACCCTAACCCAAAATCGAATCTCGGTTTCACAAATTGATCGATTAATCCAAACTCTGATTTTGGTTACCAAAACCCAATCTGACCTCCTACCTAAACAAATTGATTACTATTCTTCTCGGTCGCGAAAGAGACAACGAACTTGGAGGGGGAAGCAGCAGTACTCTTATCGACAACATTTGTATTCTATTTCTTGACACAACAGAAGCTGTAGTTATCATCGGAGTCTAGCCCGACTGCGGACTTCGCCGTAGTGAGAGAGACGCACAAAAAACCCATGAGCGAATCTTTGGTGATCGACGGCAGCGACTCGAGGTTTCAATCTCACCACGAGCAGCCAGCGCTCACGAACGAGACTGATGGCGTAATCGATGGGACCCAGATGGCAAATGAGTCCGATCGCAACCAACAGGCGGCGGCCGATTCCGGTGAGCTATCAGGAGATCGCCCGCATCAGATGTCATTCGATAAAGCAAGTGGCTTTGTGAAAGATATGAACAATTTGGTCGAGATGTTGTCCAAATTGAATCCCATGGCTCAAGAGTTCGTACCTCCTTCTCTGGCCGCCAACAACCATGGTGTTGATCGGATCGGATATACTCGCAACTTTGGGATGTTTGGTAATTTCTTTGATGGCAATGGGGATTCTGAGAAAAGGGTATGTCCTAAAGTTTCATTCTTGCTTCTTCATTTTGGTACTTTTGATGTTCTGAACTTTGACATTGGCTGAGATTGGAATCTATTGATAGAAGTGGAAGAGCGGTTCTTGATTTGAGTAAAATGGATTGTGTTTGATGCTGTTTGGTTTACTTTTTTCGTGTTTGGTGTTGCAGGGTAAGCCTAATTTTAACCAAGGAAGGAGAAGAACCAACGGTAGGAGGAATATGGCTCAGCGGGAAGATGTAATTAAGAGGACTGTTTATGTGGCTGACATTGACCAACAGGCAAGAAAGCAAGCAACTTTCCAAATGAGATCGGCTTTTTTCACAATTTCCAGTGAAATATTCAGTTTACTTGAAGCTTGTATCTTGGATTTTAGGTTACTGAAGAGCAGCTTGCGGGTCTGTTTATTCATTGCGGACAGGTTTTGTGTCTATTTTGCTTGCTGGTGACAATATTAAACCTGGATTTTGGTTTGTAATGTGGCTGATCTGCTGATACTTGATCTGGTGCAAAAGGTTGTTGATTGTCGTATATGTGGTGATCCTAATTCTGTTCTTCGATTTGCGTTCGTCGAATTTACTGATGAAGGTATTGCCACAAACCATTTGTGTTTGATTATTGCTCTAGTTCCCATTTCCTGCAATTTTAGTCACGCTAGTTTAGTGTCCTCCTGCAGAAGGTGCAATTGCTGCTTTGAGTTTGTCTGGGACTGTGCTTGGGTATTACCCGTTAAAAGTGCTGCCTTCCAAAACTGCTATTGCACCTGTTAACCCAACATTTTTGCCCAGGGTGAGACTGATTGGACAGTCTATTTCTACATATTGAACATTGTGACTGAGTTCCGGCGGTCTTGAATTGAGTTCATTTCTTGTTCAACTAATGGTTGCTATGGTTCTCAGTCTGAAGATGAACGTGAGATGTGTGCTAGGACTGTGTACTGTACAAATATAGACAAGAAGGTAACATGAGAAGCTACCCGACAGTTTTAATTCCTTCAAAGGCTATTAAAACATTGTGTCATGGTTTTCTGTTTTCCTTCAAATGCAGGTTAACCTAGGAGATGTGAGACTATTCTTTGAGTCCTCGTGTGGAGAGGTTTGTATTTGGATTTCACAATATGATGTCATTTACTTTTTGTATTCCGGACTGTAAAGATGTGTGAATTTTCTTTTTTTCAATCAGGTTCGGCGCTTGAGGCTTCTGGGAGACTATCGTCATTCAACCCGTATTGCTTTCGTGGAATTTGCTGTGGTAAATACCCTTCAGCGTCAAAATGTTTGTTTGTTATGTTTCTTTTGTTTGCCATTTAAGATATGTGACGCTCGTATATGTTGTTTATCAACTCAGTCTTCTTACTGCACCTTGGAATGCTACCCATCCGGTCACTTTCAAACAGTTTGTACCCGAGAATGCTACCCATTTTGTCACTTGCATATAATTGATGTCTTAGAGTTCAAGATTTAGGGTTGTCCATATTTTTTTTATAGCTAAGCTAGAGTCTAGAGTCATGATTTCTGTAACTGATCTTATCAACATGATTATCTACCATTGAATAGAATAGAAGCGTCAGCTATTTATAATCTGTCAGGTATTGAGGCATTGATGCTATGTCTATCGGCCACTGAGACATTTTTCATTTACATATCTTGATCATCTTTATCAAATTGTTGGAGAATTCAGAACTGACAAACTTTTCACTGCAAGTCTGCAATAGCTGTTTATTGGTGACTTAAAAACAGAATAACTGGAGCCCTTTTTACATTAGCTTTAATAGTTGAGGTTGTAGCTATCTGTACTTTTTGAACATTACAGAGTGTGTAACTACTGTAAATGTCTACACTTGTGGTTTGAGGCCATGCTAATACTTGAGTTTTCTGTTGCCTTGAGCCTAGAGGAATTTGACTTTTATGTTCATCTAATGAAGAATGTGTCTTCCTTATAGAAGTAAGATAGCTACTGTGAGAAAGTGTGGGGAAGGACACTTTCTGAAAATAAATTTTACCTAACTTGTAGACCTTGATCTGGTAAAAAGCAAAGCTATTTGAATCTATAGTAGAACTGTTTGCCAACTGAATGATATGGGACTTGCTAACACACTATAAAGTTGTGTATATTTCTGTTGGTTTGAGCTCTCTTTCTCCATTATGCTGCTAGTGAATAGAACTTTTCGTCTTCGCAACTTGATTTGGTAAGCTTTATGATACTGCAGGCTGAGAGTGCAATCGCTGCGCTCAACTGCAGCGGTGCAATCCTGGGATCCTTGCCCATAAGGTAGTTTTGGCTGCTGGCCATTCTCTTTTTTCTCCCTGCAAGTTATTTATCATCAATTGAATTTAATTGACCTTGTAAGCTTCTTTCACCATTCTCTCATGACAAATCAAGTTCTGGATTGACTGTTGCAGGGTTAGCCCATCGAAGACACCAGTTCGTGCTCGCATGACCCGAGCACCGTTCGCCTGAGAGAATCATCCTCCGGTATGCAAAGCTCAAATGCTTGTGCAAAGCGCGGCCAACTTGTTGCTAGAAGTATTTATATTTCATAGTATGTAGAAGCTGAAACTGGTCTGGGTAGTTGCTTTCTCAATCATCCTTCATTTTATCAGCTGCATTGCTAGCTGCTATCTTTTGACACCACGAGAGGTGGGAGGGAATGGATTGTTTATGCGTGTCGGGATGCTTTGGTCATTGAGTTGAATGGGATTTTGAGGATGTGAATAACTTTGGTTTAATGGAGATTGTGGGGATAACTTACAGCAAGCGGTCCAACCTCCGGCATAGACATGTGCCACCCTCTGCTGATTGAAATACTATTCCTTCATTTTACAGTCATGCAAACTGGGTTTTCCCAGACCACTCTGGTAAACATGAAGGAACCTGATCATTCCTACGATACGGTGGAAATTCATGAAAGCTCGTATCAGAAGAACCGTGCAAAAGCAGCTCACAAAGGTGATGGCCATAAGTAGTAGCAATACTAATTGCAGACTGTTAGCTCGCCATTCGCAACAGAATAACCATTACTATAACGAGATTAATCGACGACCTTTCGAATCAGGGTGATAATCACTAAAGAATCATACATGAACCTGTAGGGTGCAGTTGCATCTGACAAGCAAGTAACATAGTAGGTGTGGGTGTGGTGATGTGCAAGAAATTTGACGTATAGCCGCAATAGATTCTACTCTGTCAAGGAGACATCATCTCAACTCCTTTCAGCAGGGCAACATAGTCATATAAACAACAGCTACAACCAAACCAAACGACCCCTTAATCACAGAAAGCGCCATTTCCCTCATTCTTAAACGTGTTTGTGCTTTCTCCACTTGTATTCTATTCTTTTGTGTCCACGAATTTAATATTCTGTCACTTTCATTACCACCTAAGTGACTGTCAACTGTTCCAGAGACCACAATTAGCAGCGCCTAATTTGCAGCTTAATAAACCGCCAAACCACTGTGCATGAATTGACAAGCAGCTATAATCAAAAGACTTTCAGCACTTCCCCCAAATGTTGGAAAAGGAAAACGAAGGCTATTCACATCCTCAAAATCACATCCAGAGCTCTCTAATACCTATGACATGACCTCAACATCTCAACATCCCATAATAAACAATTGTTCTCCCGCCAAACACCCTTGTGGGTTTTCTGAGAAAGTTACCAGCTTGAGAGAGATGCATGCAACCCGCAGCAACAAAAGGAGGAGCAAAATAAACCCAAGTTCTGTTTTCAGCTTTCTATATATATATATATAAGGATGTCTATAAATACTTCTATGAGCAACTTGATCAGTTTCCAGAGGGCATTGCATCACACAGAGGGATGATTCATTCACTCTCAGCATCAGTGCATCGATGGTCGAGGAGTACGAGGGCGCACTGGTGTCTTTGATGGGCTTACCCTACACCCAAAGCAAGCGATTCGCCGCAATCAAGTTCAGGATAACTAGTGACAAAATTTGTTATCTTAGATGAAAGATGATAACTGGGTCAATGCTACCTTATGGGCAGAGATCCCAGAACAACGCCACTGCAGTTCAGAGCAATAATTGCGCTGTCAGCCTGCGAACGCAAAACAAAAGAGGCCATTAAATGGGGATAGTTTATTCAACAGGATGTGAGATCCCAGAAACATAATGCACAACAAACTGATCATAAGCTAAAATAAACAAAATCAAATCTTTGTGTCATCCAGAATACAATTTAACTATCCTTCAGTCATCACACATCAAAGCCATGCTAACTTTGCTAAGTAACTACTATTTTACTATATTCTACAACAAGGGTTTGATGCGAATAGAAAATATCTTAGTCTGCTGAGTCTCATATCATTCAGCAAGGTAGAGATTCATTAACATAGAAGTCAACATCCTCAAGAATGATCGAACCAGAAAACACATCATGTATTTGATATATGAAAACAACGTAGAAGCTTTTAAGTCGGACAAAAAAAAACTTAGAAGCTTTTAAGAATCAGCCAAAACTTTAAAGCACTTGGCTGTCATGACCTGGAAGTCCAAATTTTCAGTTTTGAACCATTAATGAAACAGCTTTACAGTGAAAAAAGTTTGTCAACTCCCATACAGTAACGGTCCTGTAACAGGAAATCGCTAAAAGGGATGCTCAAAACGAACGAACTTAGCTAGTCCTAGTTAGCTTGATAACCAATACACAAGAAAAAAATCTTCCATTTGTCATTTTCTCTCGCATATTTGCATGTGTATTGAACTGTATTACCTGAGGTAAATCAGCTTCTTAGCAGCTAGTGTGCCTTAAATTAGTTTCCAATAAGTGGTAAAAACATATAATCGAACACTATCTAATGAGAACATAGCAACAGCTCCACGTTTTATAACCTGTACTATAAGGCCAAGTAAAGATTACCCAAAACCTAACACAGCATCCTAAGGTTTCATGGTTTATGATGCTGTACATATCAATCAACGAAACAAATTAGTAATCAATAGAAATAAGTTTCAGTCTTATCACCAAAACAGTCAGATGAAACAACGACCAATGCATTAACTTCTACCTCGTACAATTTCTCTACCAGCTAATAAAGAATCCAATAACTCCAGCTACAACCTGCACATGCCTGCTGTCCTAGATCATTAGCATTGTAGCTTCCTAGAACTAGAGTTAATAGACTCTCGACATTTCAGAACGGGGTGCAAACGCACTGGTTTTTTTTAGTGAAAGGGCAACAAAAATTGAGACATGCATTAGAAAATTTCACTGCTTAAATGCAATTGATAGGAGCTTAAAAAGTGAGATTAAGTTTATTAGACCTGAAGACAAGGTGCTACTCACACATCCTACAGGTAGTAGGGTACCATTAACGTGAAAAAGTTTAAAGCTTATTTTATGGCCAATAGAGATAGCGCCAATTCCCGGAAGCTGCAACCATCTGCAACCCAGTTTCCAACATGCAAATTAAAACTAATCCAACCAAACACCTCTACCAGCCCAAAATGTTTGACTCAAGAACATAACTATAGTGGGCATCTAATCTCTTTAACTTTCTAAAGTAGACATGACAGGAAATCAGTCGGCCGTCAAAATCTATATTTATATTATCAAGCTGCATAAACTAGAAACCGAAGTGTTATAGAGGATGCAAGATATCTTTTCGTTAAAAAAAAAATAAGTGTTATAGAGGATGCACATGAAATTCCGACCAAGTATCAATCTATAATTCGTGGTTGAAATGTTATAGAGTATACCCTGCTAACTATACGGCCCACAAAAAAGAGTATTTAGGAGCCCTCAATAAGATATTCGGGAAATGCAAGTGATAAAAATGCTGACATCAGTTTATTTTAACACCAAGTCCAACAACAAAAGGAAGCAGAACATGGCAAGTAACAGATATCTCAAGAACAGACTACTGAACTGAAGTACCCAAATAAAAAAAGGCATATTATATATACATGAAATGAAAACACAAGTATCATAATCTTATTGATATTTACCATTGCAAACTCGACAAAAGCAATACGAGTTGAATGATGATAGTCTCCGAGGATCCTCAAGCACTGAACCTGTTTGGATAAAGTAGCAAATAAGACACCATCAAGACATAAAGAAAGATATTTGTAAAAAAAGGACTAAAAGAAAGATACTTTGCAAATAGTTATATGATCTAATACAAACCTCTCCACAGAAAGTTTCAAAGAACAGTCTAACATCTGCTTGAGATATCTGCATTTGAAGGAAAAGAATAACATCATGACGAGAGAATGTCCCCACAAGCCTTCAAGGAACTAAAACGCTTCCAGAATCACCTTCTTATCTATATTCGTACAGTATATTGTCCTAGCACACATCTCCCGCTCATCTTCAGACTGAAACATAGCAGAGTGAGAAGAATTAGAACATGACAAGGGACAATTGGAACAATTTTGCCACACTCATAACGTCTCAATGTTATCTAAAAGGCAGTCCATAATCACACATAAGTCAACAAGTCACTCTCACCCTTGGCAAAAATGTCGGGTTAACAGGTGCAATCGCAGTTTTGGAAGGCAGCACTCTTAGTGGGTAATATCCAAGCACAGTCCCCGACAAATTTAGAGCAATCCTTGCACCTTCTGCAGGAACCGGGTCGGTGTCATTAAAAGTTCTCGTTGCAATTATAGGACAAGTGTAATGCAGCAATATGGAAAGCATGCTTTTTTGGTAATACCTTCATCAGTAAATTCGATGAAAGCGAATCGAAGAACAGAATTAGGATCACCGCATATACGACAATCAACAACCTTTTCCACCAAATAAGCATCGTCACGAGATTAGTCATATGAAAGGCACATTTATTAGCAAATTGATATTGTAATAATTACGCCAAAACATTTCGTATTACTTGTCCACAGTGCACAAATAGACCCGCGAGCTGCTCTTCAGTAACCTACAAAGTACAAATACAAAGAGAAATAAACAAAAATGAAAATCAACATACAAACAACAAATCAAACAACATAAGAGAGCCCAAATGCAAATTGCTCACCTGCTGGTCAATATCAGACACATATACTGTCCTCCTGATTACCTCCTCACGCTGAGCCATACTTCTCCTACTGTTGTTTCTTCTCCTTCCCTGATTAAAATTGTTCCTCTACAACACAAGAAAACATAAAGCAAATCAACACCAACAATCACAATCATTCATATCCCACAGTAAGCAAAAGAATGGAGATATACAGATTCTGGACATTACCCTTTTAGTATTTACATTGCCATTCCCAACAGGATTAACCATTCCAAAATTGTTATCATACCCAAAGCCGTTCCCCCAAAAGCCATGGTTGTTAGCCAGAGAAGGAGGCACAAACTCTTGAGCCATGGGATTCAAGTTGGACAACATCTCCACCAGCTCATTCATATCATTAGCACCATTAGCTTTAGCAAAACTCATCTGATTGGCACCACCACCTCCAAAACCACCACCAGACTGCGCCACAGCCATCATCGGCTGCTGCTGCTGCTGCTGACTGCTATCGAACCCATTCGGCATCTGGGTCCCGCCGTTCTCGCCCATCCTTGAACCAGCAGCAGCTGTCATCCCATTCACGCGCTGTGGCTGGTCGTACTTGCCGTCACCAACCCCGCGATCACCATTCTCGGTGTGAGAATTCGCGTCTCTACCGTTCATCACCACAGATTCGTCCACGGGTTTGGTTTTCTCGAGATAATTAGTCTCCTTCGGGTCCGATGCCACTACAGTGGTGTCGAAATTCTGGGTGGTGACCCCGTTTTTGGCCCCAGCATTCTCAGCAACAATCGCCATGATCACCAAGCACCCAACTTTTTTTCCTGGTTGTCAAAAGAAAACCCCTTTCATTAGTAACTCGCTCCTGGCGATTGATCAACCCAAAAGCAACGATTTTTACCACAGAAATGGAAGAACCTCAAGAACCCAGAAAGGAGAAACGGCAGTAAATCAAAAGCAATTCACAGAGTTGTTGAAGATTGAAGAGCTCACTCTTACCTTTGCCTTATCTAAACGATTCCCAGAGAGAAGACACGACAGCAAGCTGAGGGAAGACACAGGAAAAACCCACTTGAGAAAGAGAGATCGTCTCTTTATGAAGAGAGCAGAAGGCTAGGGAAGGACAGAGCCGGAAAAAACAAAATCCAGCTGCAAACAATTTCCTGATCGCTGCTGACACAAAGAGAGATGGAAATGGTAAAAACGGATAGCAACTTTTTTTTCTTTTGTAAAATTTTTTTAACTCTGCTTTACCAAAACGAGCATTCTTCCCATTGTATTTTGAATTAATAATCACAAAAGTCGATTTGGTTCTTTGCACAGAGAAGGAAAGCGAGGAAGGAGAGCTCGTTACTCGGGAGTAGTTGAGAGAGCGATGCAGAGAGAGATGGGTTGTTTGTGCTGTTCTTCGGATCGTCCGTTTGTGCAGGGGCAATACAGACTTTTTTATTGACTGACTTATTTACTGTCTGCTCTTTCACCTTTTGATCTTTTTTTACTGTTTACGCCATCACCAGATCAAATATCAAACCAGACAAAATATATGATGCCAAATCTGTACCATATCAACCTGCCACATATGTACTCGGTGAGCAGACTTTAGGGTTAGCCTGGATCAAGCCGACAATGTCTGCATGTTGTTCACCATAAAGCCTGAACCACTTAGGTCCTGATTACAGAGCAATAAACATTAGAGCAATAAACATGATTACGGATAAAGGTAATAATGTTGGGGATTTGCCAAAATTTTATCTGTTTGGTAAGTAGTGTATAAGTTAATTAGCTCGATTTACTATCAAGTTGTAGGTAAATTCAAGAGGGAAATGAAAAGTTAATTAGAATGATTTAGGGGATTAAAAGGTAATTTTGGCTTGCATGTGTCAGCGGTTGGGTGAGTCCATCGAGTGGGTTTTTTTTTTGTTGTCTGTTTAAAGAGCGTTTTTGTTCTTGAATGTGTGAAATTGATAGAGCATGTGGTTTGTAAACCTTGTACATTGCAACATGGGCTTTGAACTTAGTAAGAGATTCATGACAATCTTGTCTTAAATGATTTATCATGACATTCAGAATCGTAGCTTTTAGAGGTCAGACCGTATGAAGAATCTATTAAGGTAGCAACACTATGAATTATAACTTCAAATAAACGAACGATATAATCAGTGATGTATATACTGATTTTAGAGGGGAACTTACAAAGAACACAACGTACACATATGATCCCTTTTTATAAGGGTGAGCGCACACCAACGTATTACACAACACAATGATGCACCCCCAGATGCCCTAAAAACTAGAAAGTGTGAGTTTGATGTGTAAAATTTTTTATTTGATATCTGACTATGCAAGGGTGGTCAACTAAGTATCGAGTTGGCATCGACGTTCGGTCGGCTCCTAAACTTCACACAAGCGTGTGTATAAAATAATGATATTCATGGTTGATGGAGTGACCAAACTATAAGCAATCATGGTGTTAAGATCATACTTGTACTAGCACGTGTGTGTTATCTTTCCCGCCGTTGATGTTGCGTGTCGCACAACAAGTATGAGTTTATAGAAGTAGTCAAGTCGACAACAAAACTTTATACGTCAAATGTGAAAAGTGACCGTGATCTAACAGCGAGTTAGTACATACCGATTTTAAACGGTCCATCGCGATTTTAATCTATATCATTAAAAGGAGGAAAAAAATCTATCATCATAAATGTCTAAAAGGAAAAAAAAAATCTATCATCATAAATGTGTAATCTACTCAATAAAAACACTTATGAATGTTGGACATGTGTGTTGTTAATCTCTTCCTAACATAATTCCAAAATACACCTCTGGTTCTGACTTCCGAGTAACGTACTAATGAAAAAAGATGCTCATCGGGTTTGGCCCAACCCAAAACAGTCGGATAGGCCCAACCCGAAAGGCCCGATTTGATGAAAAAAGAAAAATTGAAAGAGAATGGGAAAGAAGAACCCTAATGGCCTAATTCCATCATTGTATTTGTCTCCCCCTTTCTCACGACCAGCTCTGCTTCTGGCTTTCTGCGCCTGTTCCTCGATTGCAGCCACCTACCGCCGTCTTCAACAGCTAGCCATCGTAATCGCGCCGCCTTCCATCCTCGCCGGTGTCAAATTCGTGTACTTTCGTTTTCCGTTTTGTCTCCCGACTCTGCTGCCGTCCATTAATTTTCGTCGCAATCGACCGCATCGCCGCCTCTCTCTGCCAATTTCTCCTACGCTCTTCCGGTGAAAGCTGCAGAATTTGCGAACGTCGTCTGCTAAAGTTCCCGCTTTGCCATCGTGTTGGGTTTCTTCCTGCCCTCGGGTAAAAGCTTCTACCCCTGCTAATTTAGTCAATGCTGGCAGATCGCGATTGCTAGTTGTTTTGTTTACAGAGAGCGGAAAATTGGAATTGCTGCTTGCTTATTGGTGACAAGTTTCAAGAACCCAAAGAATGAAATAGCTGAAAGACTCGTACTTGCAAGCTCTTTATTTTTGGTGGATAGCACGAGGAGTGTGTTTTGAGAAGTTTGAGTACGAATGTCCATTTTATCTCTCTGGTTTGCCCCCATCTCCTGTTATAGGTCATAGGAGCTGCAGTATGATTTTAGGGGCATTTTGAGAATTGGAAACATGAAGCTTTCACGACACTGCCTTTACATTTTAAGCCTTGTTTTGTTGGAACACAGTGGGCATGTTATGTACAGCTCGTAATTCGTCTTCATTAGTTTTTTCGGAGAAAAAGCCATGTCATTAGAGTGAGTTACATGTTTTAACTACCTAGTTAGTTTCATGGGTGATGCATTTTGCAAGCTCTCATTGTTTGAAGCTAGGGGAACTGGACGCTTTGTATGTTTTGTCCAGGGTTGTATTTTTCGTATTGTAAAGAGAGATGGCTGAGGTAAATGCATTAATATATGTGAATATTACCAAATTTCATGACACAAATGCTTTCTTGATGATAGATGGCAAGCACTTGGATTTGAGCTTTGCGATCATACATAGGGATATAGGGAGGGAGTGGGAGAATCAGGGTGGAGTTATGGGTCTTATTTTTTTTATGGAGGTTCTTGCTTGTGCTCTGAAGAAATATACGTCTGCAATATTTCATGGGAGAATGAGGAGACCAAATTAAATTTCAAACTTATTATTGCTTTGGAGCATCTTGGAGCAATTGAGCAATGGAGCTTATGGAGCAAGGCTCACATGGAGGATTGCTCACTTGGTTTGCTTCATAGTTTTTTGTTTTGTTTATATCCTGCACTTGTTTCATCAGAATGCACACTGATGATAAACAGATCAGAAGTAAAGAAGTCTACTTCATTATAATTGTCGATTCTGTCCTTGGTGATTATGCAATTTCCTTGGTCTCTGCAGTGAAAGCTTTGCAGTAATAGTCTGTTTTCAGAATGAGTGGCCGCTTTTCTCGAACAATCTACTGTGGCAACCTGCCAGCAGATATAAGAGAATCTGAAGTTGAAGATATATTCTATAAGGTGTGTTTTGAGCTGGTTTTTGTTTTTATCTTTTGAGTGATTGATCATAAGTTGTATTACTTGTGTAAACTGCTAATAAGATTGCCATTGAACTTTATATGCTGCTAAGCCCCAAGAAATGAAGCACCTAGTCATTTCCTATCGTGTGCATTGTTGCTGTCCTAGGAAATATTTAGCTTGAGCTGACAATCTTAATGCATCTGTAGGATTCTGTGGAAATGGAACCAGGCAATATATATGTAATATGTCGATAACAGTTGAAAGTTACTGTTGGCAAGAATAAAAATTTCCATGGGTGTAGTATCGTCACTTCTCATACTTTTTTGTAACTTCACAAATTCACTTTGAAACCATAGTTGTCAGAAACAAATATAAAGGACCGGTGTCTCTTACAGCTTCATTGTATTTTTAGTTATTTTAGTGGTGCCGCTTTTTAAGTAGCTTATGATCGTGTATACGTTGCATACAGTATGGCAGGATTCTGGATATAGAGCTGAAGATTCCTCCTCGCCCTCCTTGTTATTGTTTTGTTGAGGTAAGATGTTTGCTATTTCTAAATGCCCAACTGGTTTTCTCTGATTCTATGACTATTCTCCTTTTTGTTTCCTTCCCAATTGCTATGCATGACTGCTATGAAATAATGTTGATCCCAATTTTATATTTGCTTTCAGTTTGAAACTTCTCGGGATGCTGAAGATGCGATCAGGGGACGTGATGGGTACAATTTTGATGGCTGTCGTTTGAGGGTAATAGTCATTACCTACCATTACTCTTTTTCATCTACATGAAGTCTGTGTCTTAGCTGTTATATGGCCCTGCAGGTTGAACTTGCTCATGGTGGAAGGGGACCTCCTTCAAGTGATAGGCGTGGTGGTGGTGGTGGTGGTGGTGGCTATGGTGGTAGTGGTGGTGGTGGAGGTGGGGGCCGGTATGGCGCTTCACGCCATTCTGAATTTCGAGGTTGGTTGTGGGAACAGTGTTAATTCAGGACGAAAGTTGTATGATAAAGTTTGTGCTGATCCAAATGTTCTTTTTGTTTTTGTAGTAATTGTCCGTGGGCTCCCTTCTTCTGCTTCTTGGCAAGATTTGAAGGTCTGAAGTGCTTGTGCTCTTTAATTAACCTGTAAACTGTTTTTGTTGCTCAATCACGTGAAACTAAATTGTCGTTTGTTTTACAGGACCACATGCGGAAGGCTGGCGATGTTTGCTTTGCCGAAGTTTCTCGTGATGGTGATGGTATGTGATTATTACCATGTTACATCCTTCACATCTACATTCCCTGTGTTTGTTTTGAATAGTTAGATTGAAGTGTGTTTGCTGTAGCTTTTAAGCCAGCTTTATTTCTGGACTACAAAACAAGCACATTCATTATGACATATGCTCTATAACCTTCAAGGTTAACTAGCATGTGTTAAGCATCAAATGCATGCTCATAATATTCCATGTATTTACTAAGGTATATCTGGTTTGTTCAGGGACATTTGGCCTTGTTGACTATACCAACAGTGATGACATGAAATATGCTGTAAGTTTTTTTCTATGATGGCACCACCAACTCATCCTTCTTGGTCCCTCAGTCACTTGTTTTTCATGTGTTACCTTAACCAAGCCCTTTTTATTGTTTTTTCCCCAGATTCGGAAACTTGATGACACTGAGTTTAGAAACCCTTGGTCCAGGTCCTACATTCGGGTACAAATGCATTCTACTTCACCACTCATTTGGTCATGTAAAGTTGTGCTTCAGCACCATATGTTCATTCTTGGTTTACATAGTTTCTTCCATTTCTAATTGTTCAGGTGAAGAGGTATGACAGCTCACCATCAAGAAGCCGAAGTAGAAGCCGCAGCAGAAGCAGAAGCAGAAGTCCTAGAAGGGACAGAAGGTGCTAATTTCTCTTTAACATATTATGAACCCTGGGTTGGTTATTATTCTTGTTTCCACTTATAATGGCATTTATATGTTTTCTTGTAATCAGCAAATCTGTGGGGCGCTCAGTGTCGAGGTCCATGTCGAGATCTAGATCAGCATCACCTGTTAAATCACCAAGGTGGTTATTAAATTCTGCCTCCTTCCCCATTCTCTGTGCTCATTCTTTTTCATCATAATGGGTTAATGACCCACCATTTATCTTCCGGTTCACTTGTGTTTGCAGGGCTAGATCAAGGTCGAGGTCAGCTTCCCCTGAAAAGGTAATTTCAGAAGCATTTTCTTTCTACTCTTTAGGTTAATGTACAGAGGATTTATCTGTCTTATGGACCAAATCCAATTTTTTATCTGCTGCAGGCTCGTTCTGGAAGCGCCTGAGTGATTGAGACCAATTGAGAGCATTTCATTGCCTATACCCACCTGTTAGGGTTTAATGCTTTGAATCATTGAGACTAGCTGCACTTTAAGTACTATGCTACTGATTGTTTCATCGGTGCTGGCTTCGGGATTATGTATGAACTAGAATTGGGTTTGTTGGATCATTATGTGTAGTTGCTCATGAATGGCGTGACACTTACGCTTACTTGGAACACTTCTGCCCCAGTGTGATTGGATAATTGTTTGGCTTGGCCGTGCTGAGATGTCAGTTGTATCAATTTGACATGTGATTTAGTTGTTTGTGCTTAATCGTAGCTTTGTGCTTTGTTGTTTGGAATCGATAGATACATTCCCTTCATGAACTAATTCCTTTTACAGTATACTTGGTGAAGGTTCTATCACTTGTGGGAGCTACGGCCTACGAGTAATACACAAATCCACTATCGTGACTCGTAACTCCCATAAGCCATAAGCAAGAGGAAAATTTGGTCAAACACTCGAAATCGTAAGTGTGGTTTTTTTGGGTTATGTTGTGACGGCCTTAGCTCGATTTATTGACTGTTGAGGTGAAATTTTTGCACTAATGAATCTCCCGCCCCAAAATTTCGGTCTAAGGTAAAATAGTAATATTCTTAACACTTGTGTATGGTTATACTAACTTCAATATAACTCCATTTGGGATCTTTCTCCTCTCCCTTTTGAGTAAGAAGACACTGTGTTGTTATTACTATGTCGCAAAACCTAGAGGACCTAGAAACAATTGATGGTTGGAGAATTAGAAGATGAGTTTGTGTGGTTATGGTTGATACGTCACTCAAACCTAGAGCTAGCCGAGTCTCCCTGAAATACGTCGAGGCAGGTGGACGTCAAGAGTAAAAACACTATTTTGGTGTTTTGCTTGAAAGAAAGTCTATTTTTCAAAAGGGTGAAATACGTCGAGGTGTAGCATGTAATTGGACATCTAGGTGTAAAACACTATTTTGGTGTTTCGTTTGAAAAAAAAGTCTAACTTCCAAGAGGAGAGGATAGTAACATGAACCTAGATCTAGCTAACAATTCTCGGTTAATCAAACGGTTGACAAGAACATATGTTAAATCCTCATGGGCAAGGGAAGAACAAAAAAAAAAAAAAAAAAGCTCACTATTACTCTTCTAAGTTCTGCATAAAACTAACAAAAACCTTGATGCACTCTATACTAAGATTTAACTCTATTGGGTAGACCGGATCACGGCAAGGCGATATTGTGCTTGGCAAGAGGTGCGATCTCATCTCCATCAAATCCCGGCTCAGTATTTCCAGCAACGCCAAGACTCCTCAGCAATTCCTCCCACTTCTTTGCTGGCCCCTGCATCCATTCAAAGATCCCATCTTTCAGTCACCTTCCCTCGACATTACACCGATTATTCAGTTAAATCAATTGGATGTTTAAATGCATTACCTTCCATGAGAGATCTTGAGCCATGCAGTTCTGGATCATTTCAGCCAGTGCAGGAGTCCCATAGGTTGCAACTGCCTTCTCGACGCCTCTAGTCACCGCGCTCACATCCACTGGATCAACTTCATCACACTGCAGCAACATTATCGTACATATGTCAGTTGCAGTAACCGCCATGAGTAAATGGTATAAGTTCCTCAACTCTCTGACTCGTACTTACCTCAACACTGAAATCTCCCATATGAAAGCCCGTTCGACCGTCTCTCACCGTGTTAACAAGGCCACCTGTAGAAGCACATATTGGCACCTACATACAGAATCGAGTATCAAACACATAGAAGATCCAATGTGCACCTAGACAGACATTACGCTAGACGAAGAAATGTACCGTGCCATAGCGCATAGCGTGCAGCTGGATCAGACCACACGGCTCGAACCTACTCGGTATCAACATGAAATCGGCACCTGCTATGATCAGATGGGCTAGGCTAGGGCTGAACTTGGTGATCCCGCGAGCCTTGTCAGGATACGACGCCTCGAGCTTCATGATCTGTCGCTCCATCTCTTTCTTTCCAGTTCCCTTTTTTGCACATACATAGAAACCCAATTACAACCAAAGAACATAAATGCATGATTATGTGGAAAGAAACAGAGTAGTTTCAGTTAACTAGGTGCAGTGTCAAGAACAATGATTTGGCTTACTTACAAGGATAATAATCTGGACATTGTTCTTGTCAATGAAATGTGGGATGGCTTCCACAAGAATGTCTGAACCTTTCTGCTCTTCCAGCCTCCCAATGAACCCAATCACAGGGATGTTCTTGTCCAATGGCAATCCTGCCTCGGCTTGCAATGCTTCCTTCAACAATGGCTTTGCATCCATCACCTGAAGAACACACAGTAAGAAAAACAACTCCATAAAACCATATGAAAGGAACCCAGAAATGAAACTGCAGGTAAACTTAACAAATTTAAAGATCTTACCGTGGTAGAATCGTATTTGAAATCGATGTACTTGTCAGTAGAAGGGTTCCACTCCTGAACATCCATTCCATTGACAATGCCAATGATACCCTTAGCCCGAATGATGTTATCGAGCTCGACGCCTTTGTCTTCACCGGAAGCCAGCTCCTCGGCGTAGTAAGGGCTCACTGTAACCACAGTGTCCGATTCTATGATCCCTGCCTTCATCCAGTTGATCTTCCTTCCAATCACTGGTTTGTCATAACTGCATTTCACCCACCAGACCCAAGATTCACTAACAGTAAGAAACCGAAAAGAGCATAAATTTGTGATGAGTATGTTGCTGTAGTTGTGGTTGGTTTTTACCCATCAGTGAAATCGAAGGATCCCTTAAACTGGCTGGGGAGATTGAGCACGGAGAAATCGGAGAAGGGGAATCTGCCTTGGTACGCAATGTTGTGAATGCAGAATGCGACCTTGGCATTACTGTAATGTCCTTGGGATTGGTACATTGTTTTCATGTAGCATGGGAGCAGAGCAGTGTGCCAATCGTTCGCGACGAAGATCACATCCTCCCCTGCAAGCATCGTTGCGCGTGCATTCGGCGATTCGCTCAATGAATTAGTATCGTCATAAATCATTGCAGAGATGCAAAGGTAGTACATTTCTTTTTTTCCCCCAAATAATTTACCGTATGGTCCAGAGAAGGATTCATTGCCATCTAGATTCAACAGCCTCGGCGCTTCGAGAGCTGCCTGGCAGAACAAGCTGAACCGAAGCTGGTTGTCTTCGTAGTCGATTCCAGCTCGAGGGCCATAGATTTGGGGACCAGTTTTTCCCCATACCTGAATTCAGGAAACAAACATAAATTCATTTCCTTTATAGTTCACACCTCAAAAAAGGAACCCAGAAAACTAATTTGATTCTATCACAGTGAGAGGCAGAGTACCCTGGCTAGAAACAGGGGATGGTCGACGAAAACCCGATCGACGCCTCGTTTGTAGCAGTGGAAGAACCGAACTGTCTCCACAGTGTCCAAAACCTTCACCTGCACTTCCACACCTGTATCCCAGGCGTCCTTGTACTGGTCGTATCGCGGCGAGATCGTCATCACACGGTGCCCCTTCGCCTGCATCGTCACGAATTTGATGTAAAAAAAATGTTGAATTGGTGTGATTGTCCATGGAGATAGTTACTAGCTAGCTTTACTAACTTACCGCCATGGCCGGCGGGAGCCCGCCGAGTACGTCGCCGAGCCCACCGGTTTTGCTCCAGGGAGCGACCTCTGCTCCGACGAACACCAATCTCATTCCGCCACTGCCCTCCTCCTCGCATCGGACAGACAGCGGCCTGGCTGCGGAAGCGGCGCTGGTGGGAGAAATGTGCCGGCATTTGCGGGAAGTTCTGCCGGCGGCGTTGGATCTCAGTTTCATAACGTGAAATCTGTTCAGGTTCAGTCGGGTGACGGAGTCACAGAAGGAGATGGAATTCCTGTGAGTGTTTTCCCGCCCGGAGCTGACAGGTAGCTGGCGAGGGCTGGCCGTGAATGTCGAGTGGCTCACCGTTGTTGCCATTTTCAGGTTCTTACTAATTCGCCGGCAGAACAAACGGAAACAGAGAGGTAAGCTCTGTGTATGAGTGTTCCAACAAGGAATCAAGCAACTGCTTGCTTTCAAACAGAGATAGGGAGAAGGAAGGGAAGAGAGCAAGGCAGTGGACTTGATAAAGGGAGTTGCAGAGAGTGAGCTGTGTCTTATATGTTGTCGCCGCCATTTTTGTAGATTCAGTTGGGGACGAGAAATGAGAATGGCCGCACGGTATTCCCACGTGGCGCCTTCACATTACGTTTAGGAATGTTTCTTCCATTTCTCAGCTCCCCTGCAATGGCTCCTTGCCTTTCCTTCTTTGATTGTCTTCTCACGTTCTTCGTGCCCCGTATTTTGCACTCCCCTCTTTTGCTCCATAGGAATAGGTTTCATTCTTCAATTTGAACCTTGAATAGTAATATATTTTGCACTATCACAATTTTTATTTTTTTGTGAGAAACAAATTAATTCTATATAATATTGTGAAGAGCTTTAATCTTAATACATGTATGACGTGACTATAGAAAATCGTTTTAATTCACACATGTTACCTTATGGAGATGTTTTAGTATAAATGTAGTTGTTTGACCAAGTAGCGCTAACATATATGTAAGGGAGGCGGACTGGTGACCGTGAGGTCCCAGGTTCGATCCTCACCGTCACCATGGTGTTCCCGGAGGCATCCCGCTATCACCCGAACCGCCGGCAGAGATCCCGGGGTTTAGCCCGACTACGGCATCACCGAAGGTGGTGACCGTGGAGGGTATTCCCCGCTATAAAAAAACATACATGTAAGTCGTCATAATTAAACCTTTTATAAAAACTACTTACGCTAGTGTTAACCTAGCATCACATCAACCAAATGTAACATCATGTATAAATGCTAGAAATGTATTTAAGACCGGGAAAAGCTAAAACGGGACCCGGAAAAGCTATATGATATTGCTATGATCTTTAACGTTAACATGTGTCTCAAGTGAGTGACTATAGAAAATCGTATTGTTTCAAGACAGATGTGTCACGTTATGTCTTATGTTGTGGTCCAGGACGACTACTTCTTCGTTCACGTCCTTTATCTCTCTCGATCCAAAAAAAATTCCTAATTCAAGTTTTATTTTTTTCAATTATAATCCTCTAAGTTCTTTTGTTCTTTTGCCGAATCCCCTTCAAAATCATATTATGTTATATTTATCTCGTATGACAATATCCAACATTGCACTAGATAATAGATATACAATCGATATACCGTCTCAGTGGTCTTCATCTGTATGGTTGATAGGAGAGAGAGAGAAAGAAAGAGATTCAAAGCATTTAGGATTTAATTAGGTCATTCTTCCAATTACCTATAGTTTGAGAATTGAGATGCGTAAATAAGCCAAACTTCCAAGTTGAAGGAGTCATCAAGTCAACATAATATACCACAAATGTGAAAGTCAATAGACTTGGTCAGCGCTGATCCATTATTTCCGTCCAAAATGACGTCGTCCTCCTCCCTCCGCCCAACATTTGACGAGGCCCATTTACTTTTTTGGGCCGGTTACCTATGGCCCACAAGAGAGAGAATCCAGATACTTCTCCACCTGGTCCACTCCCTCCACACATAAACTCAAATCGACGTCGCCTACTCCTTCAAGGAAATCGCCAGTCGCGTCACCAATCCTGACCGTCCACGTACGCACTGCCGCGAAAATAAATCTGGACGGTCCAAGTCGCCTTACGCAGAGTCAGACGTGGCGGCGGCGGCCGCGTTTTTTCCAAGTCCGACGAGGTCTCCAGGTGCTTCCAGGAAATCCTCAACCAATTCGGCTTTTTCCTTTCCCACTCTTGATCACCAGTTTGTATAAATACATACCCTTTTGCCTCAATCTTCAAACACAAGAAGAAACAGCCGGTTCGATCTTACTAATCCGATCAAGTAAATCTCACCGAGCAATCAAACAAATCAAGAGAGGTTTTTTCACATTCAGTTGGGGGAGAAAATGATGATGTCGATCTTCAGCTCGTTCGACGCTCTGTCCGGGGAATTCTTCGGGCAGAAGGTCAACAAGCTGCCGTCGGGTCTGTCCAGGCAAGCCAACAGCGGGGATTCGGCGAAACTAGACGGCGGGAAATCATCATCGTCACCGTCGCCGGCGGTGGAGAAGAAGAGACAGGAAGGCGAGGGTTCTCATCAGGAGGGTGGGAAACGGCGTGCGGCGGGCGGTCCGAGGTTCGCCGTGGAGTTGGATGGAGTTCACTGCTTCGAGACCCTTGTTCGTTACTGATGAATTGATCCGTGTCATATGAGGATGGATTTTGGCGCGCTTTTTGTTGTTCTGTTTTAGTTCATTGATTCATTCTTGTTTCCTTGGTGTTAGTGTGTTTAAGTGTATAGGCTAATCATGTTCTTAGGGTCTACACATTTTGATCTGGAGTGTACTCCCTCAATGTAATACGATCCATCTCGATGCACTCGGTTCGTTACTAATCAAAAACTTTCGTCGTTGATCATTTCATATTTGTTTTCTCTTTATAGCACTTGATCCATTAGATTAGGTTTACATGATATAGATAGAACAAATTGATTACTTGGTGTAGAAGGGATTGAGAAATTTTCAGACATTTTACTTTTTAACTGATGGGTGAGAATGAAGTAAGCAGGAGGAAGAATCGATTGGCAATAGACAAACAAACCTCAAGAATTTACATGGGGAACAAAAGATGATCAAGAGCTCGAACAGCCTACTTCATTCAACAATAAACATTATTGCTCCTGGTTTCCATATCATACACATATACAACCATCACTACTACTAAGTTACTAACATCTTCTGTCCTCAGCTGAGTCTCTTCCCCAAATTCCCTAACTTTCTAGCTAACCCAAACACACATGCTTTCGTCAGGAGACCTCGGTCGATGCTGCAAGCAACCGCGATAAGTCCACCTATAAGCAACATCTTCGGTACGTTCGTGCCTGAACTTTGATCAGACGAGCTCTCTGCTTCGGCCTCTGCCATTGATACCTCCTTGGTGCTGCCTCGCAGTGATTTCAGTAACTCGGGGTTCAGTTTCGTGTTGATCTGAGCCATGAAGGCAGTGCGAGAGAGTGCTGCTCCCGATGCTCTTGCCGTTTGGTAAGCAAGCAACCCAGGCTCAATCTTCTTGACCGTTCCCCACATTCCCTGACGAATCCCAAGCTTCGCGAGCTCCCATGGGATGCCCATGTCTTCGTAGTGGAAGAGCAGAACCTCGCATGCTGTCAGTTGGCCATCCCCTCTTCTAGATTCCACTGCTCAAAGAGGAAATTTTCAAAAGTTCAGAGATGATTCCAATGGAATTCTTGAGATGTTTGAAAGAGCAACTAGGGAAAATGACAGAAGGCGTAGTGAACCTGGTCGAATAAACCAGCTTGAGTAGTACAAATCCACACGCCTTGGTTTATCACGCCTTGGGATGGAAGGATAAGGTACTCCCTGAAACACAAACAGCAGAAAGAAATGCTCAGAACTTAAACGATGATTACAATGGAGGAGGCATAACAAATCGAAGAATCCAAGGAAATGTTTGGTAAGGAAGAAGTACAAGCTGGCAGGCCAAATCCAAGAATTTCTAGTCCTAATCGACATCATGGATAGTGCTATAATTCCTTTTTGTAATGAACTTGATAGTTAAAACAAACTTTAGCTTCTTGCTCAAGAAAACAAAAAAAAGGCTAGTTGTTTCATATGTGATGCAATCCCTTTGTGCAGGAATAGAATAGGGCAGATTGGCATACCTTTGTAACACAGTAATAAGACCTTCCAGACTCCCAGATTCGCCGGCCTATTGTGTACTCTCTGTCGCTACAGAAGAAGGGAAACTGCAGAACAAGGCAGCAGAGTGTAAAGAGCTAGCCGAGTGAACAAAACGAACACGTATCATCATCCACCATGTAACAATAGCAAGAAAATACATACTTTTCTTAACCAATGCACGACCATGGACCCTGTTGTGGGGCACTCATCTACAACAGCCACACAAGCTAGCATATCGTCCCAATTTAGCCGGAACTCGTCATCCCAGAAGAAGTCTCTCACTATCTCCGGTGAGGCATCCTCGAAAACAGTTCTCGTACGATATTGAGGTGGACCATCCTATAGCCAAGACAATAGAGACAACAAGACATTAAGAACCAGAACCAGAAAACAAGGTTAATCTTCAGTAACTCGAATCGAAGGCAATTAGATTAGTCGATGACTCACAACTGATCAGAATGAGTGAGATGCACACATACACACACCCCTACCTTGATGTCTCTCCTCCATGCTTGGTAAGTCATGCCTGGTGTGGAACGATCCATCATCTGTATCCATGAAGGACCTCCATCTTTCATTTCCACAAGGTTATGGAGATACACCAAATCCTCTTCTGTGACCAGATCAGCAGCATTAGGCCGTTCATCATCCAGCTGGGATCCTCCACTGGACACAAGAGTTTCATCAATGAAAAAAGTACTCGCCATCATCATCATCATCATCATCCATACTTAGTCACTTACATCACATCAATCAATTATAAATCATCCCCCAAGCTAACCAACTGAGTAATCAGAATGAAGGGCAAGTCATAGATCCAATACAACAGTGAAATCCTGAGTTGGGTCCAGATACAATTGATAAAGCATGCAACTTTCACTCACCCATCTAGCATCACAAGAAAAGAGAGTAAATGATTGTGAAGTGAAGGTTTACCGAGAATCTTCAAATTGAGATTGGTTGACGGCAAGTGAGCTGGTACCCACCAAATTAGGCGAGCTGAGCAAGAAGGACGTGAGGCAAGGGGCCGACCCAAAACCCTTCAACGGAGAAGCCGGACACCGGGAAGGCGAAGAATCCACCAATTTGTGCGCAGCAGCAGCAGCAGAAGAAGAAGAAGAAACCAAACTACCCAGTTGGGTTAAACCGGGTGCCCAACTGGGCTTCCACACCCAACCAATGGCTACACCGACGAGGAAGGCAACCCATATGAGAATTAGGAACACCATGGCTCCCAGAAAATGGGAGGTCCCCAGAAACACACCAACAGCCTCAAGAATTACAGCCATGGCGGCATGTTAAAGCGGTTGAGAAAGGGGGGAAAGTGCGGCACACGACTAGATGGAGGTTTAAGGGTTCTTCTTCATGTGACCATGAAGAACGGGAATAGTGGCGAGGAGAGGGAAGCATGAATCGCGAGAGAGGTATTTGTTGATTATTATTCTGTTATATATTACGAGGGAATAAAAAAAAATCGGTAAAACGGGGGCTGGAACCATGGAATGGTTTTTTTCGTTTGAAGAATTTTTCTCTTCTGGTGGCGGAGAACACTCGAGGCGGAGGCAGAAGGAATCATCGCCGTTGGATTTCTAATGCCTTTGCCGGTTTGCTGATTTTGTCTTGTCCTTGGGGATTTACAATTTTCTTCTCGAGTTTGTGGTAGTAAATTTGTTTATGCTAAGATATAGGACGATCAAATCAAGATTTGATTTTTTTTTTTATTTAGCTCATAGGGAAAACAAGATTTTGATTTAGCGCATATGAAAAGATGACGAATCTTTAAAAAAAAGTAACAGGTGTAATATGAACGAGGTTGTCGTCATGTGAAAAAAAATAAAATAACGCATAATTAATTAAAGTTAGCAGTTAGGTTGTGAATACACTTTAACCTCACATATAATAGATTTGCAATCCAGATATGTAAAAAGACAGACACTATAATCGTTTGTGATGCCAATTGAGAAGAGCATTAGCTTCAACTTCAATTAATGATAACCAGAAGATAGTAATAGCTTTGTTGACACACATTTTTTCACGTAGGAATGATTTATCACAATGAATATCTCAAAACGGGAAGAAAAACTCAACAATGGACAACGGCCATGGTCATGAATGAGGCCTCCTCAATTGACATAGGAAAAGTTAGCGAAACGACACGAACAAGAAAATTACCCAACAATCTCACATCATGCCTCCATATTAGACACAAAATGGGTCATAAAACAACACATCATGAATCTTCCGGACATTCCAAAATTGTGTGGAGGAGAGAAGCGTTTAATCTGGAGAGTGCATGTCATCACTCACATTAGTGTTTAAGAATGAGAGATTTTTTTTGTCATTAGTTCGTTCACTACAAAGAAAAAAGTCGTTAAACCAAATCGAAATGTAATTAACAAAAGTTTGAGGAGAGGTTTGTTTTCACCACCTTGTTATGGGCCTTGGCATCATCTTTTGAACTTTCTTAACGGGCTATTGCCCAACTTCGTTCACTCATCTTGGGCTTAATTTTGTTATTGCAGTTCTTGGGCTTAATTATGATTACTTTACTAGTGAAGAGTGATCTCAGTCTCACTGTGAAAAAAGGAGTCTGTCAGAAAAGGAAAGGAAAAACGAACACAATTCACGTTTTCCGTCGAGCAAATCCCGACGAGCGCTCTCTGCCGTGGCGGTGGCTCCATCCTCGCCGCGTCCAACCGCCGCATCAATTGGCTCAATCTGAATCTCACCTCGAAGTCTCCCCAATGCTGTGCTCAGTCCCCGCCGGAAAGCCCAGTTCAAATTGGCTGGACCGACTCCGGTCCACCAAAGGCTTCCCCATCGCCGGCGACGTCGGCCTAGACGACTTCCTTCTCACCAACCCTAACGCCGACGACGAAACTTCCGATTCCCCCACATCCGATGATGCTGCCGCCTCCAATTCCCTCGTCAATTCCAACTCCGTCGTCGAGCAAGCCCCCGAGATTTCCGGCCGAGATGTCGAAGGGGAGTACTGGTTCGGCGTGATGACCAATGCCCTCTCCGATCTCTTCTACATGGGCCGAACCACCGGAATCTCGAGGAAGAAGAGCGCCAGGAAGCAGACGAACCCTAAGTTCTGCGCCCTTCCTGAAGAGAAGGCAGCGGGCGCGACTACGGTAACGGCTTCGCTCAATTCAAACCGCAATTCGAACATTGTACGGCCTCGGCGCGGCGGGGATGACGTGGATGAGGGAGATGAGGAGAAGGAGAAGGACGAGTGCCGCCGTGGCGGCGACGGTGAGGGGTGTGGAGGCGATAGAGAGCTGAAAGGGTACTCGCGGAGTGAAGTGACGGTGATTGATACCAGCTACGAGGTGTGGAAGTTTGACAAGCTGGTGTTCAGGAAGAAGAACGTTTGGAAAGTGAGGGACAAGAAGGGGAAATCGTGGATGTCTGCTGCTGCTGCGGCGGCGGCGAAGAAGAAGAGGAAGAAGGGGAGTGGTGGGCTGGACTCTGAGTATGATCATGGAAGTGTATCCGGTGGAGCTAAGAAGAAAGCTAAGGTCTTGAATTTCTGCTCCACTGTGGTTGCCAATGGCGGAAACTGTGTGCCGCCTTCTGATGATGTAAGTTTCTCGCGCTGCATTATCTTGTGTGTGCCTGTATGAAACTCTGTGCTCGCTTCTCTGAGCTTGTGTCCAGGTTTGCACTTCTGTGTCGAGTGGGTTGCCTTCTAACAGAAGTGCTTGCTGAAACTGGTGGTGATTGCAGTAGAGTGGATAGTGCTCAGTTTGGGTTTTCTTCGTTGGGAATGAAATGGATTGGCATGTTTTGCTGTAGTGCGAGTAATGGATGATAGCTTTCTGACGCTTTTCATCGCTTTGGAAATGTTTCCTATATGAAGTTTACTATTTTTCCTAGCTCAAGTTATTGTTTGTCATCCATAGCAAAATGCAAGTATTCTCCACAAGCTGCCATGGTAGAATTTTGCAGTCTATATGCCAATTTGTCATCCATGAGAAGTTTTCAACTTCCTTTCGCAGACTTTTGTGGTTGGCCAACTTCTGTGGAGACTAATTGATGCACTTGACATAAATTGTTGCAAATATGCTTGTCCCAAACTAGTAACCTTGCTGAGGTTATGTCATTTTGGAACCTAGCAGATTCTTGTCGATAGACTGTGCTTGCAATGTGTTCAGTGCTAACCTGTAATTCAACTTGTATTTCATTTGTCATGGCAATTATTCATGTCAGATGCTGGGTTTCCTTAATTTTTGGTTTGATGAACCCGATTAAGTACAAACTTCAAGTTCATTTTGTCTAATGTTGCTTCTAATGAGATGCACAACTGCAGCAGCTTCAAGATTTCAGATAGTCTGAGTGTCTTGTTTAACTGGCAAACATGGTTGTGAAAGGTCGCATCTGTAGCTGGAAACTGGAATATTTATCTTTCCCTTTGGTTGTCTATCCTGCATAATTTCCCGTTCCAATGAAGCACCTCTTAAAGCCATATAAAATATAACAAATAGCACTAACTCGTAGATGTTCTGTTTTCATTTATTCCAAAAATAGCAGAGTTGGGTAAATGCAGGTTATTATCTGGTCCTCTCTTGTTAAACCGAGGAAGCGCTGATTCATTATCCACATATATGATTTCATATGCCAGGGTCAGAAGCTGCAGGATGAAACAACGGAAGAAGTTCCCAGAGAAGTAGGAGATGAGCTTGGCCAAGTTCCTAGAATCAACAGGCATGTATATGCTTTGGGAGGACCACATTGTGCCCCTTTTTCTGTTCTGTTTAAAATGTTTGAATATGTGCCACTGACTATAACCGTGATTCGATTTTTGTTGCACTGAACACTTTATTCAGGGTCCATGGTTCCAGATCCCCCAGAATATCAAAAAAAGGCAACTCATCAGTTGTTCTTATCAAAGCTATGCCCAGCAGCAAGAAGAGTGGGGAAAATGTCCCCAAGAATCAACTCAAGGAACTTCAAAGACAACAGAAGGCTTGACGGATTTCGTCTGCTTCCCCTAACCTTTTCGGATCCATGCGCTCAGTTGATGCAATTCGCAGAGAAGACGGGCTTATCTCCATGAAAGCATCAAAGCATACATTTCAACTGCTCGACAACCCGGGATTTCCTGATTCATGCAGTGGATCACGCATCCCATATTTTTCGTTTCGGGGGAAACTAATTCGAAACTGTTTTATTATGCCCGGATCAAGCTGAGGTATGAGTTCAAGAGGTATACTCTGGGCGAAGGATTATCAGATCAATAAACTGCTAACTAAAGAAAGTCAAATCATGACATTGTTGTTGTGTATCAGAACCATTGGCTATCAATGTTCATTCTTATGTAATCTCGTGTTTACTCACTATGAAAGAATTACAGATGCTGCTTGGAAATGCTATGACATGAACAGTTGAGGTGTCCTTAAATGTTCATCCCAAAATTACTCGTGTTGTTTCTAGCACACTTTTAAAATTTGATTGCTCGGATGAACAAATGTACGGCACCGGCAGGTCCATCCGAACCATTTGGGCCGGGTTTTAGGTGTCCGAGCTGGGCCCTGTACGCTGCGTTTTCTTGTACTCGCAGAAACCGGGAAAAAGGCTTTCCCTAAATCGCCAACGGCTGCAACTGCAACGCAATCAGTTGAGCTTCAGCAAGAAGCAGTACCCTAGCCGCCGTCTCCAGACCTTCGAGTTCGCCGGAGCTCTTCTCCTCCCGCTTTCTGCCGTCCGGCCGGACTTATCTTTGGCTGCGGCGAACTGGGAAGTAAAGCCAGCGCCGGATTCCCGCGACAGCCGACGGCCTTCTCAGACTTTCTCGCCTCCGCCGTTTGCCCTGTTCGCTCCGCGGTTCTCACGGGCTGCGATAAAAAAAATGAGAAATTCGGAACTCGATATCAAGAGGATGAAGAGCAAGAAAAAGAGACGCGAGAATGGTATTACTCCTCTTACTTCCCTACCTACATTCATTTTGAAGCTGTGTTGAAGCTACGAGGGAGATTGTAACTAGCTTGGTATTGTTTTTTTTTACTTCTTTTACTTTTAGAGGTCCAAGTTAAGAACGAAGAAGAGAGTCATGAAAGGAATGCAGGGGCTGGGAAGAAAAAGAGAAGAAGGGAAACGAAGAACAATGATGAATCTGGTGAAGTGGCGACAGTCAATGAAGGTGAATTGATTTAGCCTCACTGGATTGGCGTTGGATTTTATTGTGTCCCTCTGTATAACTAAGTTTCTCTGGTTCACTATTGGGTTTGCGTCATTTCAGGGAACACGTCGATGGAAGTAGAGAAGGTGAAGAAGAGGAAAAAGAAACAAAGGAAAGAGATTGTGGCGAAGACCGCTCCTGTTGAAGAGTCTGATCAGTTTGATGATGGCTCCTCCAGGCAAAAAAGTGGTATGTTGTTGTGATTTTTGAGATGGTGAATGACTTTCTCTCTTTCAGCATAGTGTGGCTGAATTTCCTTGATCGATACAATGGGGTGGAGCAGTTAGATTCCTGATATGTGCTCGCTGTCATGCTTTTCTTCTTGTATCCATCATACATTTTCATTAAGTTAATCTTAGTCAGTCCTAGACGATGAGGAATCCGGCCAGAACCAGTGTAAAATCCTGGATTGGCCAAATGAATTCTCGTAGACCGAGTAAAGACATGAAGTCGAATGTCTTATTTGGTTTTCTTCCACAAGTACTGAGTTAAGCTGTTTTGTGTTGCTCTCCATGTTTTAGGTAAATCTAAGAAATCCAAGAAAGACAAGAAGAAAAACAGGATGAAGCAGGAGGTTGCATCAGAAGGAGTTGGCATGCAGGGGAAAACAGAAAAACAAGAGGAGGATGTCTACTGCCTGTCATCCAGCGACGAGGAATGCTCGAAAGGAATGAAAAGTAAGCACCTTGCACTCCCTTGCTAATGCATATTTGTAATGCCGAGTCCACAGCATACTGTCGTTACCATACACTCAGGTTGCTCTAAGGTTATTTGAGCTATTGGTTCTTATCCACTTGAAGCTGTGTAATCATTAGCCAAATAGAGTGAAGCCATTGTCCCCTGCCTGTATCAATGAAGTCTCTTTGAACCACACCCTTAATTTTCTTAGGACTTGCTTTGAGAATCACCATTTGATTTTGACCCCTTCCGTCTAAAGAGGTAGAAGATGTGCTGCTTCATTACTCTTTTATCCTTATCCCTTGATGTCTATCATATAGTACTATAATAAAGTACTCTTAATCATTTGGTTTTCACAAACTTGCTTCCCAGAATGGCTTACAGAGTACCACGAAAATAGACCAGGTTTGAAGGTATTGCAACAACGAATAGATGACTTCATAATTTCTCATGAAGAAAAGCTCGAAGAGGTAATCTGTTCACTGAGTGATCTTTCGACTTATTCAACCCTTCATTTCTTAAATTTCTGAACCTTGGCTGAAGTATGGCTTTTACCGACTCCTAATTATAGAAGATAGGGTCTAATCGCTTGTTTCCTGATTATCAATATCAAGCTACCACTCTGATCCTTTCAACTTCTTACACTTCTCATGAAATTTATGCAGGAAAAGAAAGAAAGAGAAGCTCTAGCGGCAGATGGTGGTTGGACAGTTGTTGTACATCAGAGAGGAAGGAAAAAGACGACGGATCCTGAAAGCGGTATTGCTGTGGGCTCCGCCGTTCCAATTGCCAAAGTCGATGACATCACAACCAAGAAGAAGCGTAGAGAAGTAGGAGTAGATTTCTATCGGTTTCAGAAGAGAGAAGCTCATATGAATGGTAGGTGAAATGGATTTTACTGCTCTTGAAACTCTAACCCCTAGTTATTCCTTTGATTTGTTTTGTTGTTCGTAATGGTCATAAATAACGTGTGCTGCTGGTTTTGCAGAAATCTTGCAACTCCAGAGCAAATTCGAGGAGGACAAGAAGAGGATTCAGCAACTCAGGGCTGCAAGAAAGTTCCGACCATATTGAGCTTGCTTGATCCTTGGAGGATTTAAGGGTACGATTCATTTCTAATAACTGAACCGAAAGGAAATCAATCTGCTTTGGTTTCACCATGCGTAGACATTCTCCTATCTCCTATATTCTCGCGTATTTATTAAGTGTAGTTTTCTTGAATACAACACTGTGTGATAGAAATTACTACAGTTTGGTTGCCCTTTTTGGGGAAAAGCTGTTTTGCTGGGTTGACACTCCGTTGATAAAGGTGGAGTTGAGCCATCCGATTTTACTAACACAATTGCGTTCGCAGCAATCTCAAACTTCTTCCCTAGTGAATAGATTTGAAATTGTGTAACTTATCTCTATTATATTTGAATTATTTCTTTAGCTCTTCAAATGTATATTGCAGGCATGGAGCATTCGACAATTTGCACTCCCAAGTCTGCGTTCGTTATATACATCATTTTACACTTTTCAAAAAATAACCAAGGCTCTAGCACTCGGGAACTTCGGGGATGCGACTGAATGAACTCAACTTGGTTATGGTTCTTGTGTTTGTTGGCGTTAAGATATAACACTCAACGTTCATGGTTCATAGAACTTGTGATCCAACAATCCAAAGGTGTGCTAGTATATGTTGTATTTTCAATGAGCATTGTATCTGTGTAAACTCTTATTAGAACTTAGTTGAGTCTAGGGTATAATTGGATCTAAAAAGGTTTACTTCAAAGAAAATAACTCAACTCTCGATTTCTCTTTCACTTCTCTCTCGGGAACCCTAACATGAACAATCCCTCACCTTCCAATGGCCTCCTGTCATCGTGCTTGTTACCAAGTTGCCAACCGTCACCCATTTTGGTTCCTTAGTGTTACCTCTCGATTTTCTCTAACATTGACTAGCCTCCTCGTGTTTCGTTTGAGTGTCCACCCTTCAAATTTTTGTACATTTTCTTTCGTCTTTAATTAGTTGCTACTTTTTTAGTCATTTAAAATAGAGAGAATACATTTATTTTCTCTTAATTGCATATTAAAATGGAAGGACTTACTCTGATATGTACATTGGGGGTACTCCCCTAGCTTTTCGTCCTTCGAAACTATAATATATCTAAATAGGAAGCAAAACAGCTTTTCGTCCTTCGAAACTATAATATATCTAAATAGGAAGCAAAAACAACAAATGAATAAAAAGATTTTGAAACCTGTTCATCTTTACATGATCGAATCTAAAACACACCATACATGAACAAGAACCCCACATGATTTGCATGAAATTATTAAAATAAAAACTTGTTTTGCATGAAAGCTACACATAACTTAAAAGGGGCCATACTTATATGTATATGGTTATTTTATCTTCTTTTCTTACAAGGATTGTTTTATCTTCTTGGTTGATCCCTTCTTTTTGTTGAGATATTGGAAGATATTAAAATTTGTCGATGAGCTTCATTATATTTTACCAATCTTAACAAACACATCACTTATACATATGAACATGATTTGGTATCAACATAGAAACAAATAAGAATCTGCTCTCTTCAGAAAGTAACTGCTAACACATACCATCTTTTGGTATGATCAAATATTGAGACAAAAAATAAATTATACTCTTTTTGAATAGAGATGTGTTCGATTAAATATCAGGGAAAATAGTGCTTGGAATGATACTCAAATTCTTGAAACATTCCACACTTTTTTGACATACTCTTTCTCTCCCTCTTTCCTTCACCCATCGCTCTGTGGGTGTCTCTCCTCCGTTTTGTTTTTAGTGTGGGTCGCGCTAATGGAGAATAGCGGCAATAATATCTTCCAAACGCAGCAGATTAATAGTCCCTCCGGACCATCTCCGTTGCTTCACCCATGATTGGGTTTTTGCTTCATCACCATCGTGCGACTGCTTGTAACTAGCTTCACCGTCTTCGTACGTCTCTCCGCTTGGATTGTCTCCCTCATCATTTGGGTTGCTGCTAGAGGGTTGGGGCAGTTACCTCTTGAATTCCTCTATTATATCGTATCTGTTGTACTCCATTTTGATATACCTTTGCAAAAAAAAAAAAAAAAAAAAAAAGTAGGAAAATTAAATTGTAGATAACAATAATTAATAAATCAATTGAATCTCTAAAATTTCCCTCATTTTCAAAGCATTCCATGTTCCCTTTTTTTGTTAACTTCATTTTATTTTACCGCACCAATAACTATGAGAGAAAGTAAGAGAGAGGGTGAACATTAGGTCAATAATTATTTATCTCTGTGTTAACATTCAGTTTCAACCTCATCAAAAAAAATATTGAGTTTCAATCAAACAAATATTGTATAAATATATATTGAAGTGGGGAAAATGATAAATTTGGAAATTTCTTTGAAAAGAGACATTTCTTATTGGCTCGATTGAAAATTTTCCAATTACCTTGTCTAATTTTTCCTTTCCAAATAAGATAATTTGACTAGGTTTGAGACATTTGGTCACAAAATGTCTCATGCAAAAGTCTCTTCAAAAAGATTCATCAAGGATACATATTTGATTTTACAATGGATAAATTACCATATTTCCAAATCCTTTTTTTGGCTCCAACAAAAAAATAATAAAAAAGACTGATTATTAATCAATATAAATTAGTCTAGAAAGCATAATGACCTTCTACGTAGAAGTCGGATGAAATCAACTGGTGACATTCCACTCAACAATAATGATATTATCTGCAATCAGCTCTGATTTCTGACACCTCGTGATATTGGATCTCCCCTGTCAAAAACTATATGGGAAAGAAAGTATCCTCAAGTAGTGTATATAATTCTTGTGTGGACTGTAAAAGCAAGCTAATTTATTTTTTTGATTCTCGATTGTAATCATGATAAACTTTGGTATTCTATTGTATTCTTGTTTGTGTAATGTTGCAAATATCTGTAAATCCTTCCTGCATTGTTAGTATTTGTTACAAGTGGGAACAGGTAATTCACCAATAACCAAAGCGAACTAATATGATCCATCTCCAATGGAGGCAGAGTACTTAAATTGCCGACCTCTTTGGGTATGAGTATATATAGTATATGCCCGATGAGATTGAACTCAACAATATCGTAATGATAATACTTTACAATAAGTGAAACATTGAACTATAATTAGAATGAACTATTCAACTTGAATTAACATGCCTCTATCTTTTTTGTTCTAAAACATCAGAAAAATCGTAACTTGATTCGGCATCAAGTTACCAACATTTTGGCAGCGCAAATCAGCCTGGGTAACGAGCAATTTCTCACTTACGATCTGTCCATGGCACAGGGTCCATCTGTGTTCTTCAAGATTCAGCTCTGTTCATCATTCACCAAAACTCGGTGGAATCCACCTTACAAAAAAGAGTCTCGCGGTAGGCTGGTTTTCTTACTCAGCAAAGGATGGTTCTCTAGCAGATTCAATCTCCAGTGGCTCTAGTTTCTCTGATATACCATCCCCTTTGGGTATGATAACACCGTACCCACCAGCTTTTCTTTTGTAGACAATGTTTACCTCGCCTGATACGAAGCATTACTGAATCAATGGCCCGATCGAGCAAAAGCAGTTAGCTGTTAAGTGTTAACCAGGTAAGTGTTTAAGTTCTTACCAGTTTCTTCATTCCTGAACCCGTAGAAATCATGGTCAAGATTTTCGAGCTGCTCGATTGCCTCAGCAACCGTCAAAGGTGGCATATCAAAATACTTGGTCCGAACAACCTGAAAAGTAACACAGCACAAGTCAAGCTGCAAAACAAGATGAATCAAATTCTGGTAAAATATAAGAAGCCACAAAGATTTTGTTGAACCTCAGCCACAAAATCCTCATCACTCTCCGCTTGTTGGGATGCTCCATTTACAGCTTCATCGGGTTCCAATTCTGCTACCTCTACAGGTGCTTCTGGCATCGCTTCCTTGAACGTGGAACGGTTGAAACCCTTCATGTGGCGGCCATGATCCGAGTCCTTCTCCTTTATCTTCCTCAGCTTTCTTTGCATGATTGACGACACCAAATCGATGCTCGCAAACATGGTCTCAGCATCTTCTTCAGCTCGAATCACCCCGTGTTTCTTAGTAAACAAAGTCACCTGCGCAGCCATAAATCCCCACGTCAAATGGTGCACAGCCCAAAAGGATTGGATTGAGAAGAAAGAGTGTCTCATTCAGTTTGGTCACCTCACATCTCCGAATCCTTGGACCTTTACCAAACTCCCCACCTCTAACAGAAACCCTCACATCGATTTCGCGAACAAGATGACTGTGTTTCTGGACTGCCTTCCCGACCTTGTCTTCGATATGCTTCTTGATCGTATCGGTTAACTGTGTACCCAAACCACTTACATTGTCAAATAGGCATCAGTTCGTCTCAAGTTCGAATCAATCAAGACAGTGGATCAAAAAATGCAAAGTACTGTCTCTAGATTCACGATCCACCAAATCCAACTATTTCACAGTAATCCCTCCCACAGAAACAAACCAAAGTAAGCAGGAGACGAAGGGAATAAAATTGTTTATTCAAGCAGGCAAAATGTTCAGCAAGCTGTGAACTGCGCAATCAATCAACTACAACGCAATTCCTATCTCATGACCGCAGCTTCTGATACAGACACAAGAAAGCAAAAATCAGAGGAAACTAGGGTTCCGAGGAGCTGGAAACGGAAGATTTACATACCTCCAAGTTTTTGCCCTGAACGATCAGCTTGACGGAAGAGAGGGGGCCATCCCAAGACATCCGAACAGCGAGCGCGTTGCCCAGCCGCTTCCTCGTCCGGCGAATCTCGACGAACCTCGCATTGCTACCGAGGAACGGGGAGGAATCGACGGAGCATGATCTTACAGCGAGAAGATTGGCGTTTCCGGTGGGAAGGCAAGAGAAGGATGAAGAAGCCAGCGATGGAGTGGGTGGAAGTGAAGCACGGGGACGCAGGAAATTCGTCTGCAAGGATCCTACAACAGCAGCCATTTTTTTTGCTCGTTTTTCGGTTCGCTTGAACTTAACAGTCGAGATGTTTGGACGGTGCGAAAATGGAGGAAAGGCGAATGAGACTCGCAGGAAACTTGCAGCAGTAGTGTATGCCGACAACAAGGAGGGGAGGGAAGAGACAAAAAAGGTAATGAAGACACGTCAGCGGATAAACGGATAATAACGTAACTGGTAGGCCCACTAAGGACTAGATTCATTTCTCCGACACTTGGTGGATCGATTGGATAACTCTTGGAGAATGGGCCGCCAAGGCCCAGGCCCACTATTATAGTCTCTTGGGGGAAGCGAACGAACTCAGAGATGAGAGAAACAACCCGAGCAGCGTTGTCAAATGGACTACCTAACAGCCGAATTCGTCCGAAGCAATCGATTTCGTCGACGGGAAGCAGTGTACCATAAAGACAAAAATTAACGCACAAAAAACATTATAAAATTCCTCATAAATGAAAGGGTTTCTTTTGGTCCCTAGGAAGAGTTTGTTTCCCCGAGCTTGAACTTGAACAGTCGGGGTGTTTGGACGGTGGGAAAATGGAGGGAAAGAGCTGAAACGAAGGCGATGAGGACACGTCGGCGGATAAATTGGATAATAATGTAAACTGGTAGGCCCACTTGGGACTGAATGAATATACTACGCCATAACCCAATTTAGAGCCCGGCTCAAAAGGGGCCTGCAAGGCCCAGGCCCACCATTACAATCGCTTGATAGTGGCAGACTACTATTACTGCTTACAAGAACCAGGCCAAGAGACTCTGAGCCAACAATTCGCAAGCGTTGTGAAACGGATGACACTACAATCATCTCACACATCAGGTGACTCAGAAGCAATCGAGTTCGTCGATGGAACTTTTTTGATTCAACAGTTGCGAATTGTTCGTGTTCAATTCAACAATTCTATAAGTCTGTGTTTTCATAACGTTTCAGTGGCTGTGAATATCATAATCGAGTTGATTTACGCGTAATTTTTTCTTTCGTTTTTTGCATTGCTGGAGGCCACCAGCTCTCCCAAAATATCTAGCACAGTGAAAAAGAGCTAACTCATTTGCCTTTTTGCCCATCTCAACCACCCACTCTCCTCTAAAAAATATCAATAGAATATCTCCAGCTCCCACTCAGCCAGAAAAACCAAACAAAAAACAAATATCTCCTACTTCTCAACTTGCCACTTGCTGCATAAAGAGAGAAAAGATCTTCTGAAAGTATATATCGAAAAGTATTTAGTGTCCACTTAAAATGTTGGGTTGTAATTGGTCTAAAATATTTGGTAGGTAACAAGATTTCACATTCATTTTGATTCGTTAACTGTTGCTCTTCGGGTGATTGAAGAAGAACCTACTTAATGGCAGCATACTATTCTGTCCGAGTGACTAAATGGGACACGTTTCAGCACTTCGAGTGATCAAAATTAATATTAATTTTTTTCTAGTGACTAAATATGACATGATTTAGTCATCTCAGTGACCAAATGTGGCAGTTACTCGCCTTTTGATTGTTAGTTTAGCGTCCAATCCAAATGTCTCCCTACTTATTGATGTTGGGTTTCATATGTCATCATAGGGAATTCTATTCGTCTTCGTATCAACATAACTTCATTGCTTTGTTGGCGAGGCAGGGAATCGAGACGTAGCTGGATTAAACAACTCACAGATCTCAAATGTCGAAGATGCATACAATTATAATTTTATGAATCACATATTTCACGTGTATTTTAAAATCGAAAACACAATAACGTATTATCCAACAAATATTAGCATGTACGATTTAATTTTTTTCTTTAAAATGGAAAGAAAAGTGGTTGTGTTTATGGTTGGGGGATAGGAATAGTAATGACGATTTAAATAACGACCACTCGTTCGTTGCCAAAAGTCAGATGGACAAGAAAGGAGAACCACCCAATGAGGCTCTACCTTTTGATTCTCTTTACTTGCGTATATATCCTTCTGACATGGCATTCATCGCCTTCCGGACCCACCTTTTTTCCTTTAAGATATTTATATTTTTGCTTTTGCGGTTATTAGTAGAATTAGTCCTTGTACTATCTTGTTTCAACAAATCAGCCCCACGATGTTTAACAACACACATTATTACTGGATTTATGTGAAAAATATGCGTCTAACGGTCAAAAGTTTCATTTGATCTGACTCCGTCCGACTCCATTATGATCACGAGATTCAAAAATCAACCCAATTCATATTAGGTTGATCAGATTCAGTCGAAATAACGATTATGTATAATTCTTTGTGGGGCAGACCGAGTTGTTCGTTCGACCCTTTACGTGCCCCGTTATGAAGACTTCATTACTAGTCAGGCCGATCAATTCAAGAATACAATCAGTGATTGGAATAAGCTATATATTCATATGTTTTCTTTCATTGTGGTAATCTTATGTCTCAAAAGACGCATGCATTATAGGAAAACGAGGGTTACAATTAATTTATTAAATGACATAACTGGAACTATCTAACATACATTACATGTAAATGTGGTGATTGAGTATGGATCGACCTCACTCTGCATATATTTCATATCAAGTTTGACAAGTTAACGGTGCAAGAATAAATGACATGTTCCAGATCAACATCGATAAGGTCACTTGTCAAATACCGTATTTTTTTAGCTCCCGAAAAGATGGTCGATCTCGATTCTTAACTTCTTGTGCATATTCTGGATTTTGGATGGTTAATTGACTGTTAAACATAATTTATTAGTGGTTGATTGAGCATTGTTCACAAATAAAAGACCAAAAGGAAAAAACGGAAAAGAAAAAAGAGAAAGCCGTGGCCCGTGGGCTACTACCATACGTCCATGTCCACCATTAGTCCATTACCATCGGCCCAAACAATATTTTTTTAATTAAAAAAGAAGCGATTCCTCCTAATTCTTCTTTAATTATCCAGAAAAAAAAAACCTTCCCCGCCAAAAAAAGAAAAACAGGTGCTCGCGTGGCACGCTGTCGGCCATCCATTGGGCAGCAGGCGGGCGATTGGAGCTGTCAGCTGAGCCGATCTCCGCCGTCGGATTCCGCTTCATTTCTAGAGGCCCTGGATATTTTTCCAGATATTTTTCTTCCCACCTTTACTTTTTGGCCAAGCAGATGATGTTCCCCAAACGCCAAAGCTCAAACGAACCCCCACAAAAGAAAAAAAGAGAATTAGAAGGAAAAAAAAACCCTTTCGCCGGTTTCTGATTTATTTCCGGAGAAAGAAGACGGCTGAATCGGCGGCCGCGGCGGGATGGGAGAACTGGAGACCAGTTGCAGCATCAGCAGCAGTCGAGCTGCGGAAGAAGAGATGGAACAAGGAGGAAGAGGAGGAGGATTGTTGGAGAAGCAGAGTAACAGGAGTGGTGGTAATCAGGAGGAGGCGGAGAAGGAAGTAGGTACCGAGGAGGAGGAGGATACTCAGAGTGAAAACCAGCATCGGAATCAGATGTCGAAGAGGAGGAGGAAGAAGCAGCAGCAACAGCAGATGATGAATGGCGAGAACTCGATGAATGAAGTTGATGATGGCGGCGGCGGCGGCGGCGGCGAGTCGAGGAGTAATAATGGTTTGATGGTGAGATGGGAGAGGCTTCTGCCGAGGATGGTGTTGAGAGTATTGCTGGTTGAATCTGATGACTCTACGCGGCAGATTATTGCCGCCTTGCTCAGGAAATGCAGTTACAGAGGTCAGTGAGTCTGTTTGATGTGAGATTGATTATCTGTGATCATTTGCTGTGTTAATGAATGATCTTAATACCAATCACAGCTATCGGTTTCGAAATTACGGCTTCTATAGATTCCGAGGAGCTGATGTAGAATCAATTTGGAGATTAGGGTAGATCATAATTTGTCGATACCTAGCATTTAAGAGGAATTAAAATCTAAGAGAGAGCTGGAAATGTAGAAGTTTAGCGGCAACTATGGTAAAGAAGAAGCTAGAAACAAACCCTGGAAATGGGGGAAATGTAATTGGTAACCACATAATGGGTAGTTTGCTATGCCTATTCTTAACGCTGCAGGCTTCTTTTGGTTTCTGTTTGTGCAGTTGCTGCGGTTTCTGATGGATTGAAGGCATGGAAGTTACTAAAGGAGAGGCCCCATAACATAGACCTGCTTCTGACAGAAGTGGACTTGCCTTCAATATCAGGATATGCTCTCCTCACTCTAATGACGGAGCATGAGATCTGCAAAAACATTCCTGTTATAAGTATGACGCTAATCCCGACTGGAGTTTTCTAAGTTTGTTGATATGGCTTAACCTTTTGTGTCCGGCTAAAGAAGCTGACTTGGTAAATTGTATGTGTGATTTGGCAGTGATGTCGAAGGAGGATTCGGTCAGCACGGTTTACAAATGCATGATGAGAGGTGCAGCGGACTACCTTGTTAAACCTATCAGGAGAAACGAACTGAGAAATTTGTGGCAGCATGTATGGAGAAGACAAACTGTAATTCCCAACTCACAACATTGTTCTAGTTTTTTACTTTTTTCTTGTTTTTCGATTGGGAATTCTGGCTGGTTGTTTCAAGGCATCAATAATCTTTTTTGTTTTGTTTTTTCAGCAACTTTCAAGAGAGAATTTGCCCCAGGATGAAAGTGTGGGCCAAGATAGGGCTGAGGCTACTTCTGAAAATAATGTTAACCATTCAACTGGCGATGTACCTTGTGTCCAGAAGAACAAGGATTTCGTCGAGAAAGGGAGTGAGGCACAGGTTGGTGTTTGTTTGTGAGACAATTAATAGCATTAGATCTATTTTAAATCACTGCAAGGACAATATCACACCTGATCTAAGAATGATCCATTGACTAAATGAATTCAGGTTTTGTTGTGGAGACTGAATTCTCTATTTTCTCTTGCAGAGCTCTTGTACAAAACCAGGTGCGGAAGCTGGGAGTAGTGGAAAGGTGCAGGACTTCTTACAGCCAGTTGGAGCTGAACAGGTCCTTGATGATACTAGCTGCCAGAGACATGAGGCCTGCGCAGGTTCAAATCAGAGGTTACTTGTCCATGAGAACCAGGCCCAGGGTATGAATATTTTCTCAATTTTGTCTCGCCTAGTTATCTCCATTCAGTTTGGCGAAGCAGAACTGAAATTCATGGTTTCACTTTCTCAGAGAGGACACGTACCGATGCCAATACCGAGGCCTGTGATACTGATGGTGCCAACTTTCATAGAGAAGGCATTGATTTCATGGGAGCAGTTACTCTTGACAAATCCTCACAGGAGAACATGAGAAGCAATTTTGAAACTTATCCAGACTTGGATCTCTCCTTGAAAAGTACTCATTCTTGTGAGTTGGCACTTCAACTTTCAGAAGAAAGACACTCGCTCAGACAATCTACTACCTCAGCCTTTACACGGTAAGTTGAGCCTTCACTTATATGTCTTCTTTTGCAGGTGTTATTATGTAAAAATCTTTGTTTTTTTTTTTTTAATTTCCTATGATCTGATGATAATAATGGTGATGCAGGTACATCGCTAGGTCATTGCAAACCCAACATTCAACCAGTGCCTGCAATCAGAAAGAACTTGGAATCGATCCAGAAAGAAACTTTTCCAGCGTTGTAGTTGGCAACACATCTACCTCTCCTACTCCGGCCTCAGCAGGTCTTGATAGGACTGCATCTCTACCTATTTCCCAGGCTAAAGAATCTGAAGTTGGAAGCTCAATGCCTCAACAACGAGTATTATTTCAAGTCCAAACTCCACCAAACGATGTTAGGAACAGTGATTCAAAGCCAGGCTTCATGTTCCCTCCTTTCATCTCCAAGCAACAGTCAGTTCCATCACAACAACTGCCAAGTCCATGTTCAGCAAGTCACCAGGAACCCCACCTTACAACTTTGCAAAAGCAGGACGACAAACCGGAGGATTGGAGGCATGTGTCTTCTGCGACTGATCAAAGCGGAAGCAGCAGCTTCTGCAATGGTGCTGTGAATCATTTCAACAGCAGCATGTACAGCAGCATGGGTTATGGAAGCACTTCGGGGAGCATGAGCAATGCTGATCAAGTTGGGATGGTGAACGGAGGAGCAGCTGCGGATGGCCAAAATGAAGAAGGGCTTTTCACCCACATCCCAAACTCCCATCATCGGTCGATGCTGAGGGAAGCCGCCCTTAACAAATTCCGATTGAAGCGCAAAGAAAGATGCTTTGAGAAGAAGGTACACCAATATTGCCTCCCTCTATTCATGTGCACACCATTAGATTCTGCTCAGTGCTCAGAAGCTAATATGTCGATGTCTACTTGCAGGTCCGGTACGAGAGCAGGAAAAAGCTGGCCGAGCAGCGTCCTAGAGTGAAAGGGCAGTTTGTTCGTCAGGCGCCAGTCGAGGCTGCGCCATTGGAACCCGAGTGAGGACTGTGTCCAGATACTTGGCTTTGCCTGCTAGTCTGCTACTAACTGACGTGAGCGATTCTCAGTAATGATAGAGAGCCTTACTCTGCCGTGTGTTTTATATTCATACGCCGTAGCTTCTCATTGCATCTAACAGCTTAGCTTAGCTTAGCTTAGCTTACCTTAGATAAATTATATATATATGTACACACAATTTTCATTTGTTAATCTTTTTGGAAGTGATCATCAATCTGATCGTAGCTGCCGACTCTTTGATATGATTAGTGGTAGGATCCTTGTGATGCTCTTTGAGAGATAGATATAGAGGATCGAGCGGTGATATGATCAGAGTTTTGTATCAAAATGTAGACCGGAAAGTTTTTTCACAACTGAAATTTTTTCTCCTATATTACCGTGTTATAATTTTACTGATCAAATTTCATAATCAACCTGTCCTCTCTAAAATCATCATCTCAATCCTCATCTTTATTTGCAAATTTCAAGTCTTACATTACCATCGTCTGATCATATATGTTTGTTATTCTTGTAGTTTCTTGTCAAGATAATTTATAAAAGAATGAAACAAATGTTAGGTGGGTCATTGACTCTCAATCCCGATAGATCGTTGCAACAGTCATTTTGAGATTAGAAAATTACTTTTGAATTGGAAAATTATTTTAACCAGAGTCACGCTAATATGAAATCCGACCACCTTGATATGTATCATATTAAATATTAAGACTGTAAATTTTTTATGTCAAAATGATAAGATTTCGTATCAACGATGAGGCCTATGTTACCAAGTGGCTTAAAAGATCTTTTTCCCTTGCTTTCCTATTGCTTACAAAAAGGCTTAATTGCAAGTTTGGTCACTCGAATTGCTATAAAATTTCACGTTTGCCACTCAAATTAATTTATTCCATTTATAATCACTTAAATTAGGTTAACAGTCCAAGTTTGGTCACTGGCCGTTAGTCTCCGTTAACTTTTGCTGATGTGGCGGTCAACTCTTATAGTTGACCGTTAAATGCATGATGTGGCAATGAAGAAATTTAAAAAATTTAAAAATTTAAAAATTAGAATTTCCACCTCAACTATTTAAAAATAATAAAAATAATAAAAAACCTTTTCTAATCTAACCTCGACTCGGGTTGCTCCTGGAATCTACCGGAGACGAAATGTATCTTAAACACCGCCGACTCCAAAAACAGAGCAACACTCAGTGAACAACAAAGTCAGGAGTTACTATTCCTGCTGCAAATGCAATGGCGGCGGCGGACAATATTGATGTAGGTCTGTGCGAAGACGGCGGCGGGGGATTCGTGGGAGAATGGTTAATAGGGAACTTGACGAGAGCGACGCTGAGAAAGTAAAAATGGCCGCGAGAGAGCGGAAATAGACGGCAGCGATTCTGAGAGTTATCGTATAGGAAGAAACTTTCGTAAGTACGTATTGCTGCTCTGCTCTACTCTGTTGTGTATTTTTTTGTTTCGTTCCGTTTTGTTCTCTTTCATACAGACTACGGCCAAAAACCAAACCAATTGATGTTGCTATTCATGTTTTCTGGACTACTTATTCAAACTTGTCTATTATGCTCTCTACTGTTTGCAATCAAAATCTGTGTACGGAAATTTTTGGTTGGACTTGTAGGGAATTGGCTATGTTGGGATTGGGAACCCTACTTGCATTGAGATGTTGGACTAAATTGTTATGGCATAATCTTCAGTTCTTCGCCATTTGAGCTAGCTTCCAGGAAAACTTGAGGTCGTTCTCCATCTACTGGAACACCAGACCACTACAAGTTCACAGCCTTTCCTTCTTCTCCAAAAACAGCGACAGCAATATCGCCGCCGCGTTCTCCTTCCCCCTCGGCTGCCCGGTCCTCAACAGATCGATCAGCACCGGGATCGTGCTCACCTTCACGATCGCCGCTTTCGCTTCAGCATTGCTCGATAGCACCGACAGTATCGACAATGCCTTGTCCACCATTGCCACCCCTCTCGAATCGGTCAGCATTCGGAGCAACGCCGGTACGATCCCGGCTTGCACCGCCCTGCCTTTGTTCCCTTGGTAGATGCACAGGTTGAACAATGCCGACGCCGCATCTTTCTTCCCTCTGCTGCTCCCCTGCTCCAGCAGCTCCACTAATGCTGGAATCGCCCCCGAAGCTCCGATTATGATCTTGTTCTCGTCGCCTAGGGACAAACTGAAGACGGTTGCTGCCGCGTTTTCCTTCGTTTTCCTGTCACCGCTCCAACCCGAGTCAGGTCTTGGCCCGGTAGATTCCAGGAGCAACCCGAGCCAAGGTTAGATTAGAAAAGGTTATTATTAATTTTATTATTTCTTAATAGTTGAGGTGGGATTTTAAATTTTAATTTTTTTTAAAATTTTTAAATTTTTTAATTGCCACGTCATGCATTTAACGGTCAACTATAAGAGTTGACTGCCACATCAGCAAAAGTTAACGGAGACTAACGGCCAGTGACCAAACTTGGACTGTTAACCTAATTTAAGTGACTATAAATGGAATAAATTAATTTGAGTGGCAAACGTGAAATTTTGTAGCAATTCGAGTGACCAAACTTGTAATTAAGCCTTACAAAAAATATCCAAAGTTCCAAACCCACCCTTGAGATTTCTTTCTTGAACCTGCGAGACTCTCTCTCGACCTCCCAATATAATATCAAACGTGTCATCCAGCTGGACCGCGAAACGACAACGAATGGAAATCCCAATTAGCTATTATTTTATTATTTTCTGACTTTCTGGCCTTTGATATTTACTTTTTTAAATCCATTAAACTGCAGATTTTATTCTGCAAAGTCTCAAATTCCGACCACAAATGAGAGCAAAGGAGAGCCACCAAATGAGTCACCGGGCCCCACACCCGCCCAACCCAAATACACCACGTGGCACGCTCTGGCCCCTCTCGCGAATCCTAGATATTTTCCCCGCACCAAATCGCCCACAGCCGTCCGTTGTAAAGCAGGCAGACGCGTTCTCCACCGTCCGATCCCGGGGTTTTTGAAGATCTTTATCTCGATCCGCATTTGTTCCCCCTTCAATTTAGGCAGCTTTATTAAGAACCGAGAAAACTCGAAGGAAGGATTTCATATTTTCATTTCCCCTTACTGACCAAACGACGACCACCGGAGCGAGATATGGCGCAGCGGAGGAGCCGGAAGGAGACCGACAGAACGGAAGAATCGGCGACCAGTACTAGCTGGAGCGGCGGCGGCGGCGGAGGAGAAGAAGGAGAGGTGGTTTTGAAGAAGCAGAGGATGGAGGAAAACGGAGAAGGAGAGATCGTAGAGGTTGAGAGCGAGAGCGAGGGAGGTTGTGATCGGAGGAGCAACGATTCGGCGGTGGGATGGGAGAAGAAGTTGTCGCCGATGGTGCTGAGGGTTTTGCTCGTGGAGTCCGACGATTCGACTCGGCAGATCATCTCCGCTCTTCTCAGGAAGTGCGGTTTCAGAGGTGATTTTTGATTCTCCTTCCATTCACTTGAAAGTATTTTTTTTTGGCCAATTGCCAGTTTCTTCAGTGTCGGTAGCGGATCCAGTTTTGAAATCTGTTCAATCCGTTTGTTCTGCTTTCTAATTAACTGACTCTGATGTTCCCATTCTGCTTGATTGAGCAGTTGCGGCAGTTCCCAATGGGTTGAAAGCGTGGGAGGTGCTGAAAGGAAAGCCAAATGAGATAGACCTAATCTTGACTGAAGTTGATCTGCCTGCTGTATCGGGATATGCTCTTCTTTCGCTAATCATGGATCATGAGATATGCAAGAACATCCCTGTCATAAGTATGTTAATTTGAAAACTCAAGCTTCTTATGACTAGATGTGTTTCGATTCAAGCTTTAAACGTGTGCGCGGTTTGGCAGTGATGTCGACGGAGGACTCGATTCACACTGTTTACAAGTGCATGATGAAAGGTGCGGCTGACTATCTTATCAAGCCTATAAGAAGAAACGAGCTTGGAAATTTGTGGCAGCATGTGTGGAGAAGACAAAAGGTAATGATGCTAACAAATCTTGCAAGAGATGTTTCATGCTTCCATGTTGTTGCTAGACATGGTTTGTTTGTGTTTTTCTCAAGCCATGTATTGATTGATTTTCTGGTTGTGAATTCAGTTGCTTGGGAGAGAGATCGGCATGAAGGACAATGATGCTGTCCAAGATAAGCTAGAGCCTGCTTGTGAAAATAAAGCTGCAAGTAAATGTTCGAGTGGTGATGGAGCTTTTTCTCAGAGAAACAAGGAGTGTGCTGAGAAGGGCAGTGACACACAGGTTGGTGCTTTTACTGCTTGACTTCATAGGTGGTTTTCTTTTTGTCTACTTCACTGTGATAAATTATCCAACTTTATCTGTTTTGTGGTTGGATTTGGATACATTGAACTGTTGCTGGATGAGTATGTATGTACCATGGTAATTGCTTGGTGCATGAACTGAGTGCTAAGCGGGGTTCAAATCTGGTTCATGTTTAGATAAAACTGCAACTATTGTAGTGTTCTGTGCGTTAACGAAATACCCCCCGCTTATGCCAGACTCCTTTTAGAATATTCAATCTACTGTCATCAAATGTCTTAGCTATCACAATCATCGTTCAGACAACCCTAAACCCTAGCTGCTTATTTAAAAGTAATTTTCTTTCTGTAGCAGAGCTCCTGCACGGTGCTGGATGTGGATGCTGTGGGTTCTGAAGAGGATCAGCCTGGTATAAACATTTGTGCATTTTCATCTGCGGTTTATCATATCCATTCAGTTTCAAAAGCACAAACTGACATTATGGTTTCATGTTATCTGTATTTTCGTTCACAGCAGCTGCATGTGAGGATGTTGATGGAATAAGACTGGACAATGTCGTTGGAAATGAAGATATGGATTCCGAGGCTTGTGCTGGTAATGTTACTGGCGAGGAAATCGATTTCATGGGAGCAGCTCCAATGCACATATCTTCAACGCATATGAAAAGCGAGTTTGACACATATGGGCGTTTAGATCTCTCTTTAAGAAGTTCTTTTCGTGGTGGGTTTGAGATTCAACCTGCAGAAGGAAAAAACAGTCTTGGGCATTCTAATGCCTCATCCTTCACACGGTTAGCCTGCAACCAGTCTGTTCATTCCCTTTTTGAGTGATTGCGTTTACTCTTTTTAACTGATGGAAATAAACTATGATTCTGCAGTTATACTGGCAAGCAACTATACCTCCAACATTCAGAATCTGCTACTGTATCCAACCCAAAGGAACTTGCAGCTGATTTAGACCGGAACTGTTCGGGAATTACTGATACCGATGGTCCATCACCTGGGAGGAGCATCTCTCCACCAGATGTTCAAGTCACAGAACCTGCAACCGAAAATGCAATTCATCAGCAGAATGTACTTCGAACCCAAGATCTAGTATGTGGGATGAGGAAACATGACATAAAGGACCATAGCTTTAGTTCCATGTTTCCTCCCTTTCAACGTGAACAGTCAGTTGATGATGCATCACCACCACAGAGTCCATGCTCACCCAACCGCCTAGAAACTCCTGTTAAGTCGAGTCAGGCTAGTGACTCGACCAATGAAACCCCGCAAAATCAGGACAAGAGGTCGGGGTCTTCAGAGGAAGATCAGGGCCATACTGCTAAGCCTGACCAGAGTTCAAGCAGCAGTTTGTGCGATGGTGGTGGTGGTGCAAGCCATACCAACAGCATGGGCGGCTACGGAAGCACTTGTGGAAGTAATAGTGATGTGGACCAAGGTGCCATGATCAAGGCTGAAACAGAGGGCAACAACAATGAAGGAGGAGGAGCAGGTTCCTTCACACATGTCAAAAGCTCTACTCGATCGGTCCAAAGAGAAGCTGCTCTGGCCAAATTCCGGCTGAAGCGTAAAGAAAGGTGCTTTGATAAAAAGGTATAAACACCTCCCAGCTTGATTGATACTCTTTAGAGGTTCTACTCTATCAACTATCAAGTGTCATTTAAAGAGCATTTTTGCTGATGCAAGGCTTGTACATTCAATACAGGTTCGATATGAGAGTAGGAAAATGCTTGCTGAGCAGCGCCCGAGGGTGAAAGGGCAGTTTGTACGCCGAGTCCCAACCGCGCCCCCTCGTTTAGAAGTCGAGCAATAATATAAACTCGTCAACGTGGTACAGGATGCATTTAGCTGTTTGATTTGGTTTTGATCTACCTACAGATTCTTATTAGGCGGATTTGGCTAGTTGTGGAAACAAGAACCTCCTTAGGTAGATGTCAATGGTGTAACATTCTTACCAAAGAAACCATAAAATATGGTACACATTTAGACATACATCCTCAACCAGCCTTTCCTTTCAGCATGAGGCTGGTTTGTTGTAGATGGGTTCTTTATTTTCTTTTAGGATAGAGCGGCTTGTATGTTGTAATTCATCATTGAAAAAAATATGCTCAAACCTTTCTGCAGATTTTGGTCATTAGAGTAGGGCTTGTGGCTAGTTTGTAGTTTGTTGTTTATTTTTTTCACTCTTGAACAAAGCTTGATTTCTGCCAGATTATTGTAAACTTTTGGTGTATAAACCTTGTAATGTATGAATTATAGAGATTTGTTTTGCTACTTCTTCTAAAAGCAACATTTCTTTTGTGATGCGCGCGGAGCTTCTAAGAGAGGCTGAACGAATTTGTGGTCCTTGAGAGCTAGCTCATGGTGTCGGCGATCTTGAGGAGAGTTGAAGACGATGGTGGGAAGAGCTGGTTCTGGCCTCTGGGAACGAAGGTGGATGGGAGAAGATTGGGGATTGGAATGGGATTGAGGACGATGGTGGCTTTTTAATTTGGTTATTATTGGGGAAAAAATCCCAAATTACACATGTTTTTAAAAAAAATTCTCAAAATACACACGCTATGAAAATAATTCCCAATCTACGTTAGTTTGGGCCATCACCGCTGTCGACGAAGACAGTGATTGCATCACTGTTGTCGACGAAGACAGTGATTGCATCACCGCTGTCGACGAAGACAGTGATTGCATCACCGCTGTCGACGAAGACAGTGATTGCATCACTGCAGTACACGGCCGCGGTGAAGGCCTGACCTGCGTCGAAACTTTAAACAAACGTAACTTTGTGCTCGGTTATCCAATCGTAGCGAAATTTTTTTTGATTCCACATAATTTTTCGAGATCTTGCAAGCCGCAAATTGCCGTAGGCGGTTTGATCCCGCCTTCATCTCGAAAATATGTCGTTTGCTACCCCGAACGAGCCTTTTTTCAATTTCGTCAAACTTTGAACTACCATAACTTTGTGCTCCACAATCCGAAAATCATGATTTTTTTTTTATTTCGCATAAATTTCTAAGGACTACAATTTTTATCATAGACATATTTTCGGAATGTACTTGGATTCCTGAAAAGGAAGGTAAAGTTATTCCCAAAACCCCTTATATCCATAAATAATTCATTTTTTGAAATTTCTCTCCTACTAAATATTGTAGTCCTTAAAAAGTTATGCGAAATCAAAAAAAAATTCATGATTTTCGGATTGTGGAGCACAAAGTTATGGTCATTCAAAGTTTGACGAAATCGAAAAAAGGCTCGTTCGGGGTAGCAAACGACATATTTTCGAGACGAAGGCGGGACCAAACTGCCTACGGCAATTTGCGGCTTGCAAGATCTCGAAAAATTATGCGGAATCAAAAAAAATTTCGTTACAATCGGATAACCGAGCACAAAGTTACGTTTGTTTAAAGTTTCGATGCAGGTCAGGCCTTCACCGCGGCCGTGTACTGCAGTGATGCAATCACTGTCTTCGTCGACAGCGGTGATGCAATCACTGTCTTCGTCGACAGCGGTGATGCAATCACTGTCTTCGTCGACAACAGTGATGCAATCACTGTCTTCGTCGACAGCGGTGATGGCCCAAACTAACGTAGATTGGGAATTATTTTCATAACTTGTGTATTTTGAGAATTTTTTTTAAAAACATGTGTAACTTGGGATTTTTTCCTATTATTGGCGGATAGGAAACTACAAAATACATAAAACAAAAAATCATTATAATTAGAAGTTTATATTCATAAAATCATTGCAATTTATTGGGAGAATGAGGTGAAATTTTTAAATATTTTATCTTTATTTTATTTTTTAATTATCACGTCACTTATTTAACGGTCAGCCTTCAGAGTTGACTGCCACATCATATAAACTTAACGGAGACTAACGGAAAGTGATCAAACTAGAATTGTTAAACTAATTTTAGTGACCATAAATAGAATGAACTAATTTTAGTGGCAAACGTAAAACTTAATAGTAATTCCAGTGATCAAACTTGCAATTTACCCTAAATTTTTATCTTGAACCCTAGTAGGCAGCTGGGCGTAACCAAGCGCGTCTATTGTTGCCGTTTGGCCTATAGAACCCTAGTAGGGTTCACCTCCTCCACAGCTAGGCTAGGGACTTTGAGCCCGACCCGGCGGGTCCGACCCGGCCCAGCCCGCATAGGGATAGATAAAACCCGGCCCGTTTGAGAAGGGGCGGGTCTTGACCCGACCCGCTCACAGGCCAGTCCGGGCTTGGGTATAACCCCTGCCTAGCCCCGCTCCTTAGCCCTTTCGTCTATCGATCTTCCCCTTCCCTTTCCCATTAACAACCAATCCAAAATCCCAATCCCCAGCAACCTCTGCAGGCGTCCGACTCTTCCCCTCCCCTCTTCCATTTACTCCATCATTAACCCTCCATCCTCAACCCCAAGAAGAATTCATTCAGCCAGCGAGATGTTTGGCTTCCCGAAGAAAATTCATCATGAATTCAACCTATCAGATTTCGATTTCCTTCTCCATCTCCTATTCATAGGTCACCGTTTTGTTGAAGCTGTTTTAATCATCTTCTCAAATCTCGGTCAAGGGCAGGTAATTGATCATGATTCACAAGTTTACTTATCTCTCTCAAACTCTCATGAGGCTTTTATAGTTTTTCCAAATCAATTACACTATCATGCTAACAATAGCAGTCGTATTTTGTTGCAGTAAAAACTATGGCAGCCCAAGGAAATTCCAGTAGGAATACTTCTTCCCATGGTGGTTCTCCATCAGCTGTTGTTGCCCCTATTGCATCTCAGAACCCACAAGTTTCTCCAACTCCAAATGTTGTCGAAGTTGCACCAAATTCGAATGAGGTTGTACAAGTTCAAGTACAACCCAATCCAAATGAGACTGCACAAGGGGAGGAAGATGCCAAAGGTGGAAGCAACAAGACTTACTCTCAATGGTGGGGATATTTTGATAGAGTAACTGTTGGAGGCTTGAAAAAGGCCAAGTGCAAGTTGTGCAAGAAACTGCTCCTTGGAGAACCAAGGCATGGGACTAGTCACCTCAAAAAGCATGTCCAAAGATGTCCCAAGAAAAATGTCATGGATTTAAGGCAACAACTACTTCAAGCCAACTTGAACAAGGACAAAGGGTTTCAACTCTCACCTTTCAACTTCGATCAGCGAAACTCTCGACAAGAACTTGCAAAGGCCATTCTAAAGCATGGGTACTCTCTTTCCATCGTCCATCATGAAGGGTTCAAAAGTTTCTGCAATAGTTTGAACCCTTGCTTTAAGATGGTCTGCAGAAAAACCATTAAAAAGGATTGCTTGAACATTTTTTACCTTGAGAAGGCAGCTACGAAGAAGATCATTGATAAGAATGAAGGTCGGTTGGCATTTACCACATACATGTGGACATCTACTCACCCAAAGAAGGGATTTATGGCAATCATAGCTCATTTCATCGACAACCAGTGGAATCTACACAGCCGGATTATCAGGTATCTTGTAGAGTTGTAGTTTAATTTTTGTTTGCTTGCTGTCTTATTCTGTTTGCTTACTCTGTTTAATCTTTTCAATTTTTGTAGATTCATTTATGTGCCCGCCCCCCATACTAGCGAAGCTCTTTGCGAAGCTTTGGTGAAGTGTCTGTTGGATTGGAACCTAGATAGGAAATTATCGTCAATCACCTTAGATAATTGCTCAACCAATGATGCAATGATGGCCTTACTTCTGGAGAAGCTTCCAACAGCCACAGATTCCTTTTTGCTTGGTGGTTCTATGATCCACATGCGTTGTTGTGCACACATCCTCAATCTGATTATGAAGGAAGGGCTTAAAGTCATTGGAGATTCAATTGAGAGCATACGTAGTAGCTGTCAGTTCTGGTTGGCAACACCAAAGAGGGTCGAAAAGTTTGCAGAGACAGCCGCCCAACTTAACATTGTGAAGGGTAAGAAACTGATTCTCGGTTGTGATACTCGCTGGTATTCGACTTACTTGATGCTTGATACTGCAATGGGATACAAAGATGTCTTTTATCATTTGAAACGCCGAGAGCCAAAGTATAAAAATGTGCCTACTGAACAAGATTGGGAAATGACAAGGGAAATTTGCAGTAGGTTGAAAATCTTTTATAGAGCTACTAGTCTGTTCTCAGACACTCAATATTCTACTGCAAACCTGTTTTTCCCTGTCATTTGTGAGATTAAACTAGCTTTGAACAAGTGGTTTGTTTGTGGTATTACAACCATTGAATTAATGGCCTTAAATATGATAGAGAAGTTCAACAAGTATTGGTTGGATGTGAATGATTTGATGGGAATGGTTGTCGTTCTTGATCCAAGATTTAAGCATGAGGTGCTGCAGTTCTATTTTCCTAAAATTTATGATAAAGACAGTGGGCATGAGGTAGAGCGCATTCTTGGATTATGCCACCAACTAGTTGTTGAGTATGAGGAGAAAGAAAGAGAGGAGGAACAAGTGAATGGTGTTAATGGGGGCGGCTCAGAAGCAAATGATTGTGAAGACAGTTTTGCTTTGGATTTTCACTCGTATGCATCTAGCAAGAAAAGGAAACGGCCATCCAGATCAGAGCTTGATGCATATTTGGAGGACGAGCTCATTAAGAGTGTTGCTGATTTTGATCTCTTGTCTTGGTGGAAGTCCAATAAGGGAAAATATCCTATTCTGCACAAAGTTGCTAGAGATATTCTGGCTATTCCGGCTTCAACGATGGCTTCATAGTCAGCCTTCAGTACAAGTGGGAGGATCATTAGTCCTCAACACAGTAGGCTTAGCCCGGAGACTGTTGAAGCATTAATGTGTGCACAAAGCTGGCTGTTAGATGGTTCAGTTGGTAACTTTTCTTACTCTTTACACTTATATTTGTGAGCAATTTGTACTATTGTGAATATGTTTTGCCATTGAGTAATGAGACTTAAGGATTGAATGATTATGTTGGGGGAGTCGACTGGTTCTGCTTGGGGTTGAATGCTTTTACTCAAATGTAATTGCTTCTCTAGTGCTAGATATAATGATTCTGTTTAGGATATGGAATTCTTGCTCTTAGAATGAATTATAATGCGAATGTGTTTGTGCTTGTTTGTTAAACGGAATTGCTATTGCTTGTCAAAATTCATCATTGTTACTTGTTAAGTGCAATATGCTTACTTGTTAAACAGTGGATCATTTGGAGGATGATGAATATGATTCTTCGGATGATGAGGTGCAGGAGATGGATAAGGTACGTCCGAGAACACTATTTTAGCCTAGTAAAAAAATGGATACTTTGGAGGATGACTGGATGATCAATCTGACATCATGTTTTAATACATTGTCCCTTTGCCAGGCTTGAATTCGAGGACTAGGAGGAGTGTTGCTGATTGCTGAATATTGAGTTGCTGCAAGTACAAAGATTACAAAAAATTGAAGTTGGCTGCTGTTTTTGGAAGATTTGAGACTTGTTGCAGAATTGCTATCAATTCATGCTGTGTCTTTTCTGTTTTGTTTGAATCTTGAGACTCCTAAGACTTATGTGGATTTGGAATTTTGGATTGAGATGTTGAGTGCCTAAGTTGTTAGAACTGGCTTTGGAGTTTGATTTTGGTTGAAATGGAATCTGAGTTCTTGGAAGATTTGAGACTTGTTGCAGAATTGCTATCAATTCATGCTGTGTCTTTTCTATTTTGTTTGAATCTTGAGACTCCTAAGACTTATGTGGATTTGGAATTTTGGATTGAGATGTTGAGTGCCTAAGTTGTTAGAACTGGCTTTGGAGTTTGATTTTGGTTGAAATGGAATCTGAGTTCTTGTTATGTTTGAATTTTTCTTTCATTGTTTCAGTTTTATAACAGGGAACTAGATACAGAACCCGTCCAGTTGGCCGGATACATTTCATCAAAGATATAAATAATAAATAGTAATTGTTTCAACCATTAACAACATAAGTATATTCATCATCGATTCTACTATCACCACTCTCAAATATCTTTTCCTTCTTCTTAACAACATAGTTATATGTATCAGTGACTCCACTGCCTCCACCATCAGTAGGGTCTTTATTATTTTCCTCATTTCATTGCTAACAAATTTGAAGGCAAAACTAATGTAAATATGAAACACATTATCATGCAAAATAGTTTACCTTATCCAAGTCATTTGCAATAATTGTTGGAGATGTGAACTTTCCATCTTTGATTATCTTTCAAACTATGAATTTACTCATGAGATTAGTAATTTTCCCTCGTCAATTATGTGATTTTCAATATATTAGCTCAATTTTTAGAAAAAAAGAAGGTGGATTACTTCTTCCACCACTATTTTGGAATAGTTTCTCAGTATCATGGAACTTAATAAAAATCTTAGTCCTGTGCACTTCAAAATTACAAAGTCAGGTTCAACTTTTTCTTTCACAACATGAAGTTAGATTGAGATTTTCTATTCAATCAATAGTATATTTACATATGTCCAAAACCTTCCACCCATGCAATATTACTTGTCCTCCACTTTATAATTGTAACACATCTTTTTGTACTCTCATGCCTAAATAACTCTATTATTTTGCTACCATATAATTATATAAGTTACATAAGTTTCATGTAAAAGATGGTATTTTAGGTAATGTGCATTTAAAATTATTACATAAACTATTACAAAAATCTCATGAAATAGGAATGACAATTTTGACCTAGCCCATATTATCCGGTTTATTTGACCTGGTTTAAAT